CTATGTTTATATACATATATGTATGTGTGCACGGTTTCGCGGTATGTGAATGTATTTGCAAATACCTCAAACTACTCGCAGCATGTCATTGAATGAACTGGCATTTTTGTGCCGCATGTCGGTTGCATTTCATTCATAAACTCTGCACAATTTGCAACAGAGCAGTTCTGCTTCACAAGCCTTAAAAGGTCTTTTTATACATTAGGGTGTTTCTTCAAAGAAAAGGTGTGTATCATCAAATTGAAAACCAAATCGTTGTCATCGAATAGTTTTAAATTGTTAATAAAACCGAAGTTTTTACCTTAATTTGTGTGGAAGGCATGACAATACACAATTTTATGGTTTAAAGCTTTCACATACTGCATCGATAATGCTTAGATTTTATACGTAACATTGTTAAATTAAAAAATAAAGACAGAATATGTCGATACCTTGGTTCTAAAAATATCAAAAATTCTTGTAGACTGTGCAACTCTCAGTACTTAGAAATGACTTTTCACTAAAATTAGATGGTATGGTTAAATTTTAGGGTGTATGGGTAACGACATATAACATGAACAAGTAAGGAAGGAATAAATTAGGATGTAACCGAACATTTTATACCTTCGCACAGTTAAATGGTATACTCGTTTGAGATTTCGTTAGCACGACTACAATCGAGTATGAACTACAACTTTATTATATGTGGCACCTGGTATGAATAGTTGTTCCCTCAGCCGGAACAACTGAAAACTGATTCCTTTCAATTGAAATTTGTACATTTCTTTTATATTGAAAAGACTTTAGAACTTTTTCAATTGGTGTCCAAGAACTTCCTAGAGGATGAGGCTTTTTTGATCGAGCTATCAAACCAACAGAAGGTTCTAAAATTTAATCCACAGAATTGTTGGAAAAGAACAATGGAAATCAATTTGCATAATTTGTCCAACTGCCCCATGCACTCACACGTGTTTATATTCACTGTAACCATATATTTGGCGGAGGTTTTTAGTGTCAATCCATAGTGCAGTCCCTGCGTTTCAGAAGTTTTTAAAAGTTGAACTCTTTCCAAAATATTTTCCATTTTACTTATTTTAAATAATATCTAAACATATTTTTGGAACGTTCTTTTTAACAATCGCTTTTTTGCAATTAGCACAAAAATTGTAATTTCCATCTTCCGAAAGAAATGTTTGCATTAAAAAGAAGGGGTATGCAGCATTCGGGTGACCTTGCGCAATAGTTTCGAAATTTAATTTGCGAACTTTGTGTGAAAACCATAATCCACCGAAGTAAATACATATTTCAGTAGGGCCTTCTTTATATTTTGGAAATAAATGTTTTTGAAATCTGTTGAATTGCCATTATTATCAATTTTTATAACATTATTTTCTTTTGTTGATCGGCCTATTGACCGGGTTATCTCTACGAAGGCCAACTTGACTTTGTCTAAGAAGTCTGATTCGAAATTTCTTCCCTCATACTATGCTGACGACGTTGTGTTTCTCTGTCACGCTCCTCTCTCCTTATTTCAGGATTTCTTTTTGCATGTTCTCTTTGCATTTGATCACGAATGTGCTCTAAATTCCTATACTCAGGATTTCTTGCGTAAAGTTCTCTATAATCCCTAGTGTTCCTACTTTGCTCATCATAACGTACCTCGGGATTTTGTTGACGAGATCTATGATCTCGAGTATTTCTTATTTGCTCTTCAGAACGAATTTGTGAATCTTGCCGCCTTGTTCTATGTTGAACAGTATTTACAACTTGCTCAACATATCGTACCCCATGGTCTTCGCACCGAGATCTATAACTTCGAGTATCCCTTATTTGCTCTTCAGAGCGAATTTGTGGATCTTGCCGCCTTGTTCTATGTTGAAAAGTATTTAAACAGTAGTTAAATAGTATTTGACATACCGTCAACAATATATAATATGAAAAGCAAAGTCAATCGGATATTTGAAAATGCTGATATTAGTTATATGGAGGCTAGTGCAAGTTTTCACCTGGTCTTATCAATTACAGAGAATCGGAAATAATTTAGTTTATTGCCGAAAACGGGTGAAATCAATCGACACCCATATACTACACATTCCAGCCGACTTTATGACAAATATATCGGTCAATGTTATTTATTTAAAATAAATTGCACATCTATCTCAATAGAACATGTCTCAACAAAATTATACAAGAGTATTATTATCGTTAAGTGTTATGTCATTCGGTAGTAAATGTTATGGCGTGTGAGTTACGCTGATTCTCAGATTAATATCTCAGACACGAAACAAAATGTAGCAATCAAACTATAGTATAAGTTAATAAGACAATTCCATCGAAAAACCTATGCAGACTTTTCGATATAAAGTTATGCCAACGCGATTTGAGCCTCACAAGTTGCAAAAGTATAAAATTTTCGGTTACACCCAACCTTAGTCCTTCTTTGGTTTCATTTGTAAATTTTATAGCTCAAACAGTCACCAACATTCCATCCTTCCGTACGTCAGCTGTTACAAATAGAACAGTGGCAACATTGGTGAAATGAAAACAAAAGAGAACAACTGATTTCTGCGTTACAACTACGGGCATAACTTTTCATTTGGCTTGATACGGACGGTAAGTACGAAAGGGAGGAATGTCGGTGACTCTTTGGGCTATTAGTTGAGTGCCATTTTACCATCACCCAACGAAATTTTTCAAATGTTCGCCATATTTTCTAGCGTTGCCGCCGTTTGTATGCTGGAAGAGATTTGCCGTAACATTTAACATGCCATGGATTACATCAACAGGGTTTTCTCTCATCAAAAGGCAATGTTTTATTATAATTAAACTCCATGAAACTTTATCATTATTATACTTAAGGTTAGTACTTTAAGACATAGGTAGAGATTTTTTGTTTGCGGTGATCTCTCAGTCACTTCAAAGACTTTTCAGTCCACGTTGAAAATTAGTCAAAATATAGGATACCTTAACGATACTAAAAGAGCATGTTTACAGACCATGTAATAAGATATACATATACATAGTACATCGTATACAAAGCGTGGTGGAATGCTTTCGATCAAAATTAAGATTAGAATATGCAGTTACATACTTAATTTTACATATGCTGTGAAAAAAGTTAATAATCAAGAGTTGTTTGTAAAACTGGATTCACATACAGGCTCTCAAAAAGCTGTGTACTACTATTTATTATATACAACAAAAACATAATAAAATAACATAAAAAAATTTAAATTTTCTAAACCACTTCATATAGCTGATTACATTTATTGGCTCATTAGCAAGCTAGGGCATTATTACGGTAAATAGATTTAACACAAATTTTTATAAGTATGCCATTTTTATATACATATCTTAATTGTTTACATAGATATGGTACATATGTATATTGGCTATTTACATATGTATATGTTAATTGTTTCCTATTGCAATGACAGCAATACGTTAAATAGATTAATTTTTACATATACAAAACATAACATATTATATTAAAAACAAATTCGCAAAACACTCTTACATAGGTATGTGCATATAAGCGGTAAAAAGTATGTGCATACATACATACCTATGCAGGATTAGAGTCCGTATTTAAATATTATAATTATTACAGAAGCAAATAAAACTAAGGAAAACATTTCACTTTGAATAGGCGAAATTTGCTCTTCCTAGTAAAACAAAAGATGAAGAAAATACATAGTGCATTAACGAAATTGTGCAAATAGTATATTTTCTTTCCTTCTATGTGTATATATACACTACGCGTCACCAGGTTAGCACACCTTCATCAGCCTAATACAAATGATTCTGATTTTTCTACTACTTGCTTGTTATGTGATTTTCTGATCCTTGTATGAACAATCACGGGTAAAGAAAATATGCGATAAGAATGTCTCGATATGTGCTTTATTTTTGCGTCATCAGGTTAGCACATGCAATTTGATTTGCATTTATCTTCGGAGTTTAAATACGCATTGACACCAAAGTGTTTAAGTCGGGGATTGAAGGACAAAACGTCAATTTAATTCAGTACTCACCTGACACCGATGTAATTAAGTAACCTTGGTAATATGTGGCGATGGCGATCTTGCAAAGTTTTTGAGTCTGGCGGACAATATATTTGTACTACTAATTGAAGGTATTAAAATTGCTTAATCATCAATTTCCAAAATTGTACTAACAGCTACCCAATGTGATCTTTGAGATCATTCTCAACAAAGCGGTATCGACTCATTATTAAAATAATATACAAATGTTTAAATTAGTTAATACAAACGTTTAAAAATATGTTCTTGGCGAAATTTTTTAAAAATTGTTCATTTTCCTGTTGATTTTGAGAAAAAATTATTTAAAAAAATAAAAAAAAAGGTAAAACAATAATTACTGTTTTATTTAGTATGCAAATGATATTAAAACCAAGAGAAATTAATTGGAAAGGATTCTTCTACAAATATAATAATATAAGCCTCCATCTCAATTAAACACCAAATAATGTATAATATTCTTAATTAGAACATTTCGTTTGGATCGTTGCCTTGCTGGTCCGCTTTTTGACGGGCTTTCGCCAATTTCGCCGAAAGCTCTGAAGACCGAATAGTTTTGTACTATAAAAAAGAATTTTCATTAACACTTTTATCAAATCATTTTAGCAAGAAATTTATTTTTTGGACTCACTTCACAGATGTTCTTCTGAAGTACTATTTGAGAAATTAAACGTCTACTCTCTTTTTGGCCGAAATATCCCTCAATAACATGCGGTGATAATGCAAATAGCTCCTCCCCGTTTAATTTGCACAACTTGGACACAATAACATTTGAGAAACTTTTAGCACGCAGCCATTCCTCAACTTCCTTAGGTGATGAATACTGGTTTATGTATATATTAGGCGTTGTTAATATTTCTAGATCCTTGCGTCGTTCTCGCTGATAGAGTGTTGTTCTCAATTCCTCATTAATTGACCCTTGCAACAATAATATCTCGTCATTGGCCTCATTTTCATTGCGAGCTCTCATAGCTTTCGTGAGAAGTGAAAATCAAATATTAATATTTGCGCAGGACTTAGTACTTACACATTGGTACCGGTGGACCGGTATGAAATGGGCGTTTTTTTTGTGAAAAGTACTAATATTGAATTGGAAAGTAAAAAAAAATTTATTCAAAGTTTTGACTATTGCTTTTTACACATTTTGACCACCTTTCTGGCAATTTGTGGATGACATGCCGATAGAAATGTTCGACTTTTGAAACAAACAAATGAAGCACCTAATTTTCGACTTCTGCGTAGGAACTGAAGTGCTTCTCAGCTAATACGTATCCCATAAATAAAAACAAATGGTGATCGAAAGGTGCCAAGTCGAATGAATATGACGCGGTAGCAGCTCACAGCCAAGTATTTTGATTGTATCCTGAACCGATTTTTCTTTGGGTGCAGGTGCCATGTCTTCCGGCCCATTATGGTCGTTTTTCGATCAATGCATGGTTTAAATTGATCATTTGTTGTCTGTAGCGATTAGAATTAACAGTTTCCCTAGGTTTTAGAAGCTCATGATATACCACACCCTTCTGATCCCACCAAACACAGAGCATTGACTTCTTACCGAATCGATCTGTTTTTGCAGTCTATCTTGATGGTTGTCCCGGATTAACCCATGATTTTCTCCGTTTAAGATTATTATAATAAGTCCATTTTTCATCGCCAGTGACAGTTTGATGTAAAACTGATTTTATTTCGTGTCTTTGAAGCAAAATTTCACAAGTGCTTTTTCAGTTTTCCGATTGTCATTTTCCATACTTTTGGATCTTTCCCGTAGCTTTTTGGTGGTCTTCCACGTTCTTAATTTCTCATAGAGCCCCATCACCATATGCCTCGACAAGCATTCGACGTAACTCTGTAGCACTTTTCTTCAAATGGAAACAAAAAATTAATGACTTTCCGGTACAAAATTTGACATTTTTAACACAATTAAAAATATGATGTTGTTTGTTCAATGACTGTAAGGTTATTGAATATGTTTGACAGATGTCATTCCAACCAAACAAAACAAAAACTGAAAGCTCGTAAACAACAAATGTTCCCAATCAAATATTTGTATCTTAACGCTCACTTCATATCGGTACCGGTACTTAAATTATGATTGAGTAAACCTATAAGTATATATGGCTATCAAAGCTATTTTCTATTAAAATTTATAATAACATATAAGTATAAGATATGGTTTTTCTAATGTTACATATCTAATATAGTTTGGGTATTAAAAATCCAATATAGTGGAAAAATTAAATCATAATTAGTTGAAGATGATTTACAAAGTGAAATCCTAGACTGCTTTAACAAGCGAGCTAGGATGTTAAAGTGTACCTCAGAAAACATAGAAACCAATATGAAATATACTAAGGTAAAAAGGTAAAAACGGAAATCTTTGAACGGACTCTAACTTATCGGTCTAGACTTGATAACTGGAGTTCTACTCCCCTGACCTATATAAGCCGTGGTTCACAGGCGGTTTAATACTTGCAGGTATTGGCAAAACTTCATATTAAAACAAGTAAGGAAGAGCTAAGTTCGGGTGTAACCGAACATTTTATACTCTTACAACTTGAAAGGATCAAAGCCAGCTAAATACCTTCAGGCAATATTAAAAAATTTAGCGAAAGGGTTCAACTTCATTGTTCGCCGCCATCGTGAATCGACTACAATCAAATTTGGTATCATATTAATTTATTTTGAAAGTCATAGACTGATTTAGTTGTATTAATATATCCTACTTCCTGTCAACGAAAATTATACCTTACTCATCCTGAAATGAGATATACATATGTGATCTAAACTCAACCGAAAAAGCTAAATTTAATATATTGAGTTGATGTGAGAAACCTCAACCAAAGGATTGAAGATCATTATATTATTAAAATAACTCTCACATTGGCCGATATAGTACAAGTATGTGGTATTAAGTCAACTGGAAGTTCGAAAATCTTTATATTAGGTATATGGGGGCTAAGGGAAGTATTGACCCGGTTCAATCCATTTTTGAGAGAAAGGTATATTATTATAAAAGAAAAATTTTCTTCGAATTTCAATAACATATCTTACACATTGACCGATATTTTCGGCAAAAAGTCTTGAACAATTATGGTCCGACTGTGACAATTTTTACAATCGGGGTGACATACATCAAAGGCACGATTTGTGCAAAATTTTATCCGATTATATTCATTGGTGCTAGATTTGTGTACTGATATACGGAATTTAAAATTGTACTCCATGGGAAGTAGGCGTGGTTGTAGTCCAATTACGTCCCATTTTCACAATGTAACACAGGATCATCAGGATAATGTTATGTATCGAATTTAGTTGAAACTGATCTAATAGGTCTGGAGATATGTGATTTCACGGCTGTTATAAAGCTTGTAACATCCTGGGTGTAAAATTTAATGTCTGGCACATTTAGTAATTTATTTATCGCGCTTTTAGTAGTTTTTACAAAGCTGTTATATGGGGAGAGGGCGGAAATATATTTGTAATCCGATTTCAGCAATTTTCACACGTTCAGTAGGGGTTCTTATAGAAATCGCCCTTACTAAAGCTTTTGTGGTTTAGGAGATATGTACATTAAACATATTATCTACGAACTCGTCCTCACTTTGCCAAGGAACACCTGTACCAATTTCATTAAGATATGTTAATTTTTACTTAAGTTATCGCTTGCAGAGACAGACAGACGGACGGACAGTCACTCGGATTTTAACTCGCCTCACCATTATGATCATTGATACATATATATATAACGCTATATCTAACATTATTATTTTAAGGAGATACAAACAACCGTTAGGTGAACAAAACTACTATACTTTATAGCAACAAGTTGCAAGAGTATAAGGAGTAAATAAGGTTTAACTTCGGGTGTAACCGAACATTTTATACTTTTGCAATTTGCACGGATCAAAGGCGGGGAAATATCTTTATATCGAAAAAATAAAACTCTGTTACACAATAAAGTATGAATCGATGCAGATCTTCTTCTAGCCCCCATATAAGCAATATAACAAATTTCATCTAGTTTTTGCACATTTTAGCATGAGCTTGAATCACATGAGAGGAATCTTTAGTTTCATAATTCGCGTAAAAATGTGTCCATTAGTGTTTTCGATAGATAGAATTGATTTAATTTTAGTCTAAGCAAAAAACCAAGTATATCCTGCTCGAAAAAGTATTTTTCATAAATACCTGCTAAACTGCCAGCAGCAGCCATATTCCGCTTCAGGGTACCACTTGGTGTCGGTGTCTCACTATCTGGCGGAGGAGGCATAGGGGGTGGAACCGGAACATTCGGCATACTGTATGAGCGCGGTATGGATTTTGCTATATTAGGTGAAGACTGTTCTGTTACATCAACAAAAGGAGTGAGTGTATTTCGATACATGTTGCCCGCATTGGTTTGGTTTACATTGATTGCCTCTGTAAGAGAATAAATAATAATCGTTATCACTTATTCTTATAGAATAAGCATGTGTTTTTGGCATGGTGTATTTCCATATAATCTTATCTTTTAATATTTATAAACAATAAAAATATGCATACCTGCTTCGTTCAAAGATGGGGCAATATAGTCTGCATCCCTCATAGAGTAATTGGAGTGCACTTCAAAGTTATGTGCTTTAAGGACTGTATGTGGAACATAACCGACGTTGCCCGCTGAATTTCTGACCTTCCACCAATTACGTGTATCTTCGATAACCTAATAATAATTTTATTGAAACTTATTGGTAGGTATTTTAATTAAAACGAAACATAAATTTTTACCTCAAGATATTCCCCGATTGAAACATTCAACTCCTTATCGTTATTTGCTTTGCTATTATACACCACTTCGGCAATTTTTACGTTTCTTGACTGCAAACGTGACAGCCAAACGGCATTACTTGCTAAAATCCGTGGAGTTACCGGCGAATTAGGTTTTAGCGGTGGTATATATGTAACTTCTTCGTCAACTATCCAATCCGGTGACCAATCATCGTAGAATATCGGATGATATGATCCTTTATGATCTTTAAAATATTCCTTTGCTGCGGTCCAGTTTTTTCCTAAAGATCTCCAGAAATCAGTGTCCGATGCATTTAAACAACCAGATAAAAAGTGTATAGTTTCACGTCGGAGCAGAGGATTAACAACATTCTCAGGTATATTAGCACTAACGTGTACATCATTACAAACATTTACCATGGTACGCAAAGAAATGAATAAATCAGAAATCGGTTCCGTTCCGTTAGAGAAATGATGATTTAGCTTAACAACATAATTTATGGCCAATTTAACTTTGGCAAAAATATCATAGAACTCGCTTTCAATGGGTGGGCGTGACCGTAATACTAGCAGTCCCTCTCCATGTGGGTTGTGATCATTATGACGTAATTCTAATTCGCGTATTGCCTCTGCAGCATATTGCAGACGTGCCACAAACCTTTCGATGTCTTCGAAACAATGATTTAAGACCTGAATGTCACGCAAGCTTTGCTCAGCGTCATGAGCATTCTTTTGTGCAGCCATTTCTGCGGCAACTGTGGCAATACCATATTGATCGCGAGTATTATGGGAGGATTTTTCCGGTTTTAATACTTTGATAGGTGTCAAATTTCGATCAATCAGTATAGTTTTGCCAGTGCTTAATTGCTTCAAGTCTTCAACCAAATGCTTTGACGACACATTCGTTACCTGTGCTTATAAATAAACCCATTTAGTATAATATTCTTAAGTTATAATTTTAAAACCAAGGTAAGATATTACCTGAAAAAAGTGCATTTCTGTCGTTCCCAAAGAGACGCCTGGTACTGTAAATACCAGAATATTATTATAAATCTCTAATGGATCCTCACTGATGAAAGCCATTGGTTCTTTTATCAGAGAACCTGGGAAATTTTCAATTTCTTTCATTTCGCAGTCCAACATTACCAGCCATTGTCCACTAAAGGACATATACATTTTCTGTGGCCAAATGGCTCCTGATTCATCCAACTTCATTAGAATCTTTAGCTTTTCTTTTGGATTACGTGTCTCGGATTCATACTTTACTTTGAAAGTAGCTAAGTGTTCCAAAGCGTAAGTGGGTTTGTTGTCGACATTACCTATGTCAATATTGGACAGGTCCTGTTGATGTTCATTATTACTGGAATTGCCACCGTAATTATTCTGCACCATCATAGCAGCCTTAAAATAGTGCAAAACATACTTTCGTGATTTATAAGTATGATATCTGCTTAATCAGTTACAAACAGTGTACGTTGAAATTAGTTTAGAAAAGTAAAAAGGGGTAAGTTCAAGTGTAAATGAAGATTTTGTGATCTCGCATATTTGGTATCTGGTTCAAAATTTATGGTTCGATTTTAGTTTTAGTTGCCTAAAAGCAAGATGGCATATCTTGAAGGCACTTATTGTGTTTTATTTCGACGACTTCATTGGTGCTTAGTTTATAGCACTTTAGTGACATGCCCATTGTCCAATTTTGACAACAACCTAACATGCATTAGGTGCCAAGGTATAAGTAAACCAAGTTTAGCTAAGTTTTTACCATATTTTTAATTTACTTATATTTGATTAACTTAATATGTATCTTGATCAGTTTTAGTTGTTACAATGACTCGATAGGTGCTAGGTCTACTCTGTGCAACATGCTACGAGAGTATAAAAATGCTGTGTAAGAATTCAACATTCATCATTCAACGAAACCGGATATGCATTGCAATCACATAATTAACTTATTATTAACTTATACCATTTTATACCATATATTTACTAACTTAGTATTATTATTAAAATTTACTTCGTGTACAAGATAACAAACCAAAGGAGTTAAATTAAATAGCATATAAGGAAAAGGTCAACAAAAGAATCGAAAATCAATTTATTTGGGAGATGGGATGCATGCATACATATGTATATAGAAATCTATGTAACTGTGTAATATTTAAATATAGTAAGAGTTTTCAAAATTTGCGTGAACCAATATGCAATTTAAGGAATATTTTTACTAAAACAAATGTTTTGTCAATTTCGATATATTTACGTTAAACATGCCAGGCGTGAAGCTTACTTATTTATGAAGTTTTAAATATAAATTTCATTCAATATTTTTTTGTGTGAACCTTCTAATTTACAAATTGCAGATATTTTTTTACTAAACTCAATTTACATTTTAACTCTTACATACGTACAGTACTTTTATTTTATGATGAATTACACTTAAACTATTTGCAACATATATAAAGCAATTTAATCAACTATTTAGACTAATTATGGTACATTTTTATATATGTATACTTATAGATAGTTTTCGTTCTGAAGAAGGTTAATTATTAATTACACTGCATTTGATTTGTGCATATATTAACGTAATTGTGTTTTTGTAAATTTGTGAGATACATATATATATTTATGTATATATACATATATGTATATAATAGGAGAGCTTTGAATATATGGGAAGTATGTATGTTTGGTACTTTTTTAGTTTGATTTTTTGATTAGATAAAACTTTTCTACAATTCTTGTTCGTATATCTACTTATAAGAAAATATTTGAGCTATTTGCTGGTTCATTGGCATAACATTCATTGTTTTATCTTCCCAGACCCAATAAAATTGCTTCACAATGAAGTAATGGTTTTACTTTACTCTTTCATAAATATTTATTATTTATCACCATTTTAATTTATTTCTTAAATAAAACATTTTTTACTTTGATGTAGACAACGTAATCACTTTTTTCACATATTTTCGGAATAATAATTTACCAAAATTTTAGTGTCAGTTCACTTTTCAGGTGTATAAAACTATTACGAATGCGGAGAATCTATTTTATTCGTATAAACTTTATGAAATTGGGAGACACAACTGTTTGTAGAACCCAGTATTGAAAATCCAAAACTGCAGAAATAATGAACAAATTATGACTAAGGGAATTCTTATCATCGTCGGTTCAATTCGACTACAATTTTTATACTCTTGCAACATGTTGCTACAAAGTATAATAGTTTTGTTCACCTAACGATTGTTGGTATCACCTAAAAATAGAAGTAAGAACGACTTCGTAGATAATACATAGTCAGACAACAGGATACAAAACTACAATTTGGCCCAACGAATCACATTAAAGAGGGCCACCTGTGGTTTGGAAATCTTTAAAAAGTGGGCGTGGCCCCGCCCCTAATAAGTTTAATGTATATATTTTCCAAACCAATAACGCTATATCACTCAAATTTGCACAGGACAAATGTTTTCAACCCTACTTATGACAGTGTGTAAATATATGGGACCGAATGATAACCCCGCCCACTCCCCATTTAACGGTTTTAATAAAAATTAATAAAAGTGCGATAAATCAGTAACAAAATGCGTCAGAGACATTAAAATTTACGAGCCGGAAGGCACAACAAGGCTTTGTAGGAGACATTGTCAAAATTGTACGATGGACGTGGTACCGCTCACCTTTAGGTAAAAACACATATATCGGGATCTGTTGGACCGATTTCAACCAAATTCGGTACATGACATTTTTCTGTTATTCGTATATTACAGTGTCTAAATTGAGTATGCAAATAAAGCATCAATTAGTGTAACGGAATAAAACTTTCCACAAATAGTTCCTTTAAAGTGTGCCACCTTATGACCAAAAATTGTCCAAATTGATCCCAAACTTTTCAAGTCCCTACGTACTAAATATGTGGACCCCACTGCCTTTAGTTGACTTTTTACCGAAAATAGCGGTCAATGTGTGAATTATATAATTGCAATTCAGAGAGAATCCTTTCCTTATAATAGTATGTCTGAATGTCAAAAATGGGTTGAGTCGGGTCTTCTCTTAAACAAAAATACATAAAATCGGGTCAATACTACACCAACCATATAATGATTTTCGTTTTCTAACAAGTTTTATCGCGAATATGGGTAAGATATACAATCAGCCCGTCCTCTCTGTCCCCAATATATCCCATATAATGATTTCCGTCCTTCTGCCTGACTTTAAACCGTTTATTATGTGGTTTAGCGCTGAAATATAATGGAATTGGTTTAGATCTTGGTCTAAACCTAATATCCCTAATAGGAAGAATTCCGATCCTCTGGTTGACGTTTTCCACATCATCAAGTATCTCATTTGAAGATGTTTTTAAAATAATTCAAATTTGATTGTAATTTATTTACGATTTCTTCGGATAATGAATGCTTAATTTTTTCCCAACATTTTTTTTTTGTAAAATTTTACAGCATCTGAAGGCATTTTCTTCTTGCATGTTGCAAGAAAATAAAATGCACGGTTACACCCGAGCTTAACTCTTTCTTACTTGTTTAATATAGAGTTTTGCCAACACCTGATGTTAAATGTTCGGTTACACCCGAACTTAGCTTTTCCTTACTTGTTTATTATCATTATAGTCACCTGTGCGCGAATACACAACACACATACTTACATATACAGGTACTTACACATGTACGAGTATGCATGTGTGATATACAAATGTACGTATATATGAAAGTATGTCATTTTAATTATGACCTCAGTTTGCTATTTGGGTTTGGGTATTTTACTTATTTACTTTTTATTGTACTATCACTTATGGTATACGTGCATGTACATATATAAAGAGTTATACCTAAACTGTGGTAATAATTGACATTTTGAATTAATAATTTCCCCAATTTTCGGCTTCTTGTAAGGCAAATGCAATCTACATTGACTATATTTTGAGCTTCAGGGCTTTAACTTTATTCGGGAGTCTGTAATGGTGTTCAAAATGTGTAGACATACTTTTAAACATATAAGAAAAAAAGATTTTGAGCTGCATGCTCCTGCTGCAGTATAACAATATATATTTCTTATTAAGCGTCTGAAAAATAAGACTATCAGTTCTGAATTTCTCTAAAATCATTTACTGGTTAGTACAGATCCCGTTATAACAAATAAATTTAATTCAGTTTAATGTTAAGGAAAAATGTTACTTTTAACAACTCAAATTAAACAAATAAGTTCATTTTACCGAAACTCGGATAACCTCAACCTACTATTTGTATATGTCACACATACATACATATATGTTAGTAACCGATCAAATTCCAATACAATCGCCGTTGCCTATCTTATCAATCAACCTGTAGGGAAAACTATATTCGATACTTTATTTTTAGATAACAAAAAACCTCATTTGGATGTATTAACCCAAGCATGCAGTAACGATTCTCATAAAATATACTATCATAAGGGTTGTGACATACTTGCATACATATATGTATACATATGTATTTACAAATATAAATTAATTATGGGTATTACCAACAACAATATTGTAACAGTATCTTGAGAAATATACATAACTTAAAAGCACTGAAAATTTGGTTAGCGGTTTAGGATGTAATTACGAATATTACGTTATATTAAAAACAAACATGTTATCGCAGCCTTATTTGATTGACAGTAAAAACTTATATAAAACATAACAAAATTCAACTTAGCTGCCTGCGTCAAATATATCCAAGTAAATATAACAGAAATAGCGAAAATATAAATTAACAATTTATTGAATATCTTTTTTAATGCCGAAGTTTCTTAATGTAAGAAGTGCCCAAAACACATGCCTGATGTAAAAAAAAAGATGGGCAACTTTTTCTAACATTTAAAATATGGAAACCACGACAAAGTAAAAGTTATCAAATTAGTAACGTTATACAATATTTTAGGATTTTTATCTTTTGACAACGATTTATAAACTTTACCAAACGAATTTTTATACTCTTGCAACAAGTTTGTAAATAGTACAAGTATACTAGTTTTGTTCATTTTACCTAAAACTAGTCAATATAGATACAGAGTTATATAAGTATATAAATATTCTGATCATACGACGACATAAATTGGTATCCATAACTCTCTAACTAACAACCCTAAAGATAGTAGAAGGTAGTTTTGCATATGAATCGGTATAATTAGACAATGGCCGTACTGCCATCTACTTTTGAACGAAATCCCATCTCTCGGCAATAAATAAAACAATTCAAACCTAAATTTAGAAAATAAGCTAAGTGATTGAATGACCACTATTAAAAGTGTTGATAGGATACATTATTTTATTGTAATCGATTCACAATTTCATTAAACAAAATATTGAATTCATATGATATATAAAGCTTTGCCAACTCCTGGAACTATTTCCTGTCCTTGATTTTTACAAATTTCGAGAGTAAAAAATTTTCCACTACACTCGATATTTAACCTCGGTAAACAACTGGTACGCCCTTAATAGTACACAACACTAATTTCCTTATTTCTTATTTTACGGGGAGCCACCTTATACTGTAGACAGACATATGGTATCCGGTACAATGACATCATTGTGTACTATAATGAAAGCTCGAACAACCATATACATGCACCTTAAGATTTCAAGGGCTTCTTGCACGATATTCTAGTACGGAACTCCAGCTACTTTTCTGTCACAATATGTCTGCCTTATATGTTTTATTCAAGGTTGTAGCTTTTGGGCGAATAAAGCTGTCTCTTTTACAATTTAAAGAAATTTTTTATTATACTCTCGCAACACGTTGCACAGAGTATAATAGTTTTGTTGACCTAACGGATATTTGGATCACCTAAAACTAATCGAGATAGATATGGAGTTATATATATACAACTGATCAGGGTAACGAGACGAGTTGAAATCCGGTTGACTGTCTATCTGTCCATCCATCTGTCAGTGCAAACGATAAAATAATGAGTAAAAATTGTGGACGTGGTTCTTTTTAGCATTTATTTATGCTGTGAAAATAGAGAAAATCAAATAATAACCACGCCAACCCACCATATAACGGTTATGTTGAAAATTACTAAAAGGGCCAAGATGGTAGGGAAGGGTTTTTTATAACTCGGTGTAACTATTGGACAATGGGCGTGGCACCGGCCACTTTTAGGTGAAATCCTATATCTCAGGAGCTACTAAAGCATTTACAACCAAATTCGGTATGTGTGTATCATACATTGTGAAAATGGGCGAAATCGATTGGCAACCACGCCTACTTTCCATATAAGAAACCTTTGAATTCTATCTTATTCTTTCACTTTACAGTATACAAATATCAAACATCAATGCATCTTTTCACAAATATCAAAGTATTTAATCTAACGCCCAAAAGTGGTTGAAATCGGATTATATCTTTTCAAGGACCCAAACACAAAATATGTGGACACCAGGGCATATGGCTAATTTTTATCATGCATACTGGTTAATCTATGAATTCCTTTAACCCAAATACCTAATATAACTATTTTCAAACTTCCGGGTGACTTTATACCGCATCAATTGGTCAATACATCTTAAATTATACATTATAAAATATGTTTTATTATATAACAGCCAGCGTATATGTATATAGACTAATATACGAGTCCGTAGAGAAATCGAATTTGATTTGAAAAAAGAATTAAGCAGCCGATTTTCTTCCACAAATTTCATATTTATTGATTGTTTGCCTTATTTGACAGTTCACATTGCTCGTCGCACTATCTCTCCTTGATTGGTACCAGGCAAGTCGTCAATACCGTGCTCCGATTCCTCAAGTTGGTAATCGATCACCTTGTTGGAGTGTAAGGTTGTGTAAGAGCTCGCAAGGGAGAATCCAATTGTATAGTTTTCTCACTCTGTTTTCATCTTTCTTTCAATGCTAAATTCAAATTCTAATGCGACTGAATATTTGTTGAAACAAAATATATTTGGTTTTATGCTAACTCTGAAATTCTGTCCAAATGGCGTTATAACAGTTCTAGAAAATTTGTATGTAATATTTGTCATTCGACAATTCAAAACACTACTAACACCAAATGTCTTATGTGTAATATATGATCACACACGACTTGAGCCTTAACAGCGTAAATGTACTTCCGTGAGAATGACGCTTCTTGGTTTTTGTGAGGGTTTTCCCGGTATTGGAATTTCGATGCCATCCCGCGTATCCTATGAAGTTAGATAACTCTCTCCAAAATTTCAGATTTGAGGTTATGCGTTTCTCGGTATTTGGCCAAAATAGATACTGGTTTTAATATGTTAATAGCGCATTCACACATAAATGCATTATGCAACAAAATGGCAAAATGTGACCTGATTGAAACCACCGTCACTGATTCCGCAATCTTTGACAGAGTAGCTCCATCATGGCGGGAACCTAAGCGATTTAATACTGTTACGAGTTGCGTTTCATGTATAATAGAAATTGTTTTCACAATCGAGTTTGATTGAAACGATCGTTTTCCTTTATTAAACTCAAAATTGTATCTAAAGTGTTCCATGTCACATGTGTAACCTTCTTGAAACTGTTATCATCAAGTTTTTATATGACTATTTTAAATAAATAGTAGATTGTATCTGCATTCTTCACCCACGGCCAACACATACATTAGATCCTAATCAATCATATACCATTTCATCTTCTGTTTTCCATCTACTTCATTTAAAGCGTCTTTCACTTGAATATGATTGTAAAGGCTAAGTTATTCATAATGAAAATTGTTTGAAATATTCTTTTAAGATAAGGTGACAATAAATCATTACATCTATTTAATGATATTTTAATTCGGCCAAATATAGTTACAGAACCTCAAACGTCAACGTGAAACATTTTCCAATCACTTACTAAATATAACTGTATTTAAGGAATGATTTTTATTTTGCTAATAAAGGAAGCGTTATTAAGATTTTCGCGTTTTGGCGCCAGTATATTTTTCAGTAATTTTTAATTAAAGGGCACACCGGATGTAAAAATTATTTTTATTAATTATACCTTTAAAAAAATAGTAAAATGTTTTTTTTTTTCGTTACAGCCCTCTAAAGCTTAGCCGCTCGGATCAATCAGTTCATCTTTAAACGCGTTTTTCTCAAAACTACATTTTTTAAATTTTCTTGAGTTATTAATCTGCAGCAAATGATCCCGTCACTAACAACCTTTTTCTGCATATTTTATATATAGTTCTCCATACAATGAGTTTTTGATCTGATCGAAAAGGATCAAAATTTTGAGTAAAGTTCAACTTTACTCGAAGAACTGTGTTTGTATAAATATACCGCTAAAATTTCAAAACAATTGATGAAGTAGTTTTAATTCCCAAAATCGCTTTTTTTAAGCTGTTGAGAAATTGTTCTTTCGTCCTAAATATACGTTTGCTATCTTTTCAGACCATCTTTCAGTGAAATGAACCGAACTATGAACTAATAATGTACCTTTTCACCTACTATGCTCTTTTAACAGAATCATGCTCATACGTTTTTCCGTTTTTTATTTATATTTCTAGCTCTTAGTTATTTCACGGCATGTCGCTTACATTATTTTCACAAGCAAGAAGAAGCCGATATATCGGTTTTAATACTGAATTCGCTTTTAGCTTTAGCACAGTGGACGAAATGATCAATCTGGCACGGATTAATTAATAACTTCACAAACTTACATGTTGCCACAGAGTGTAATAGTTTTGTTCACCTAATGATTGTTTGCTTCACCGAAAACGAATCGTGATCAGCATAACGAGACGAGTTGAAATCCGGGTGACTGCCTGAACGTCCGTCTGTGCATGCTGTAGCTTGAATGAAACTTATCTTGATGATACTTGGTATACGTTTTCATTGGCACCCTAAGAAGGTTGGATTGTAGGTGTTAGGAATGGAACGCTGCCACGTCCACAAAATACCGTTAATCGAAGACATATAAAGTGTCATAACTAAACACATCCAACAGAAATTGGTGTGTAACATTATTAAACATTCTTATAAGTTTTATGAAACGTATGCGCAATATATTAATTTTCATCCATTTTGAATTTTCGTCTGACTTCAAACCGTTGGGGTGATCAAAATATGTGATGATTTGATAAAAGTAAGTTATTTTATTCTATCTAATTCTATCTAATAATGACTTCTGATTATTTGGTTGTTTTTACCGCATATACCTAAAATTATAAATTTAGTCCCTTTGTTTGATATCTTTGAGTTAACTGGGAAGGAGGAAAATTTTTAATCTAAAGTTTTGCAACACCTGAAAGTATTTCCAGGCCTTTGATCTTTGCAAATTACGAGAGTATAAAATTTTCGGTTACACCCGAACTTAAAAGTAAGGAAAGGATAACTTTTTTTCCCCGTAGTAAAGTCATTTGTATTATTTAAATACATTTTGCAAATTTAAATAATAAACTTAAGTTAAATACATACATATTCTTTTATTTTAAAAAACTATGGGAAAGTGTTGGCAAAACGTTTGTTGGTGCAAAAATATGGCATTGCTGGAAAGTAAAATATGTATATACCTATATAGGGATCCGATGCCTGCCAAGTATTTGTCATGCATTCATTGTACTAGTAGGATAGAATATTCCAAAAAAATATACTTCAGAAGAAAAGTCTGTTTTAGTATATACCAAATCCCTCTTAAATTTTTACACATTTATTTAATTGATTTTTACAATTGTTCAACACTATACAAGTCTACAATATCTTAGGGACGTAATAATTCCACATGTTCATTACATGATAACATAGGATTTCTGGAAGAAAAGAAATTTAAAACCTGGTTATTAAAATATTAAAGGAAGTAATTTTATAATAAAGCATCAAAATAGTTTATATTTTAAAATTGTTAGATCTTGCGATATCAATTAGTCCATTATCAATCAGTCGATTCTAGTTTTGGTTTCACAAAATGTTAGCTATTTCCATACTCTTTGTATGTCTACTCGATTTTTTGAGTGCTTTAAAATTGTTTAATATGCTTTTTTCGAAGATATGGCGTTTCCTAAAAGAAAGTGATAATAATATGCATACAAATAACATTCCAATTTTTTTTTATAAATCAACGAGATTTTTAAGACAATTTGAAATTGTACAATGTTATAGAAATGAATGAGCTATAAAAAGGCATACTCGATTTGGTTTTGAAATTTGTTGTACTTGTATTATAAATAATTAAAAGAAATAAGTAAAAAAGAAGCAGCATACGTACAATTAAAATCAATGAACCACCAGTATCAGTACATACGTATCGTACAAATAAAGATTTCAATAAACTTACTTCTCCGAAGATAAGCGAAATATATTTCCTGGCACATTTTTCAATTTAGAATTTGCACAAAGCAATTCCACGGCGTTTACTTTTCTAAATTGTACTAAATCCGTTTCTATTGCGTCTATATCAGGAAGCTGCCTCTGATATATCTTCGAGAACTGTTCGGCTGGAATTTTAAAAATGTTAGTTGGTTAAAATAAGTGGAAAAGAAAAACTTAATATTAAATTATGTATGTGTGTTATTGAATAATAATGTGAAAACAAAAAAATTTCAGATTATTACTTATGTATAAAAGCTTTTATCAATCCATTCGCTTACCTTTTTCCACCTATCAGGTACCATAAAAAATATGGGTTTGTAATTTATAATATATATGTATATGCATATGATAAAAAAAATATGTTATCTTGTAAATGATAAAATAAAATGAATCTATAGAATAATATGTATTTGAAATAGTAAAAACTGTAAAATATATTAAAGGAATATACAATACAAATACAAATAATAAGAGCTATGTACTGCTATGGAAAAATTATTATATCAAATGTGTAAATATTATTTGAATGAGAGCGAGAGTTTCAAATTATTTCTTCCTTTCAATCGAAGCCCCATTTGAATTGTTTTTATGTAAACGTCAACCTCTTCATACTCGTGGCTTTATAGCTTTACATCGAATAAAATCATAAATTACATATGTTGTATCGTCTTAACAACACATATTTAACATTCAAATTAATTTTTGGTTTCAACTTTAGTAAAAAATGCTATTTGGGATACAGGAATGGCGTTGTTCTTGTTGTAACGGTTATCTAATCCCCGATTGGGTGGTCAGGTTCAGTTTAGTTGTCGTCGAGGTCATCTAACGGAAGACCCAGAAAACGAGCTGTTTCGACGGGATCGGACCACAGGAAGAAAGGTGTTAGATGAGGGGGGTTCGTTGGGAATGCAAAGAGGTGGTTAGTGTTATGCAGAGACTCATTGTATGCTGGACGTATATTTGGTATGTCAGAGTCGATTCTGAATAGATAGGAGTTTAACCTGCTACATTATCCATAACGAAGTTGCGCAAGGGTTTGACTCCAAGTATGCCATTTACTGAGAAGAAGTCGGTGAAGGTGTTAATGGCTTGACTGTAAATGGCGGTCAGTGCATGTCTGAAGTTAGTTGCGTCCGAAGTCTGGTCCGTGTACTGTTCAATATCGTCGACGTGGTCAAGGAAGGACCTCGTGATCTTCTTCGCAGGCGGTTCCGCTTCAAGCAAACAACTGCAGGGGTGGTTTCTGCGAAAACATCCTAGCATAAACTGCTTGAAGAGGAGCTCGTTATGTTCCTTAACCGGAAGCACACGGAGCTCCCTGTGTAGGTGTCCGACTGGAGACATCAAGAGCCATCCCGTGATGATCCGGAGTGCAGTGTTCTGAGAGATCTGAAGCTTCTTCGTCAGCGTTGCACTACATCCAGGTGCGACGTTGCCAACAACGTTTCTTTATCTTTTCCCCATGAGCTACTGGCAAGTGACTTGAGGATTTTGTTGAATCTCTGTACTTTTACAGTTATCACGGTCGTGTGAGGAGTGAAGCACAGGCTATCAAATGTAACACCTAAAATTTTAGGATTATTGACCATCGGAATTTTAATGCCATGGACTGTAAAGTTAAGATCCAGTCTGTACTCCTTCGTCTAGATCGTGAATATAGTAGTAGTGGATTTATTGGGGGAGAGTTTTAAACTCCTTGCAGCGAAGAAGCGAGAGAGGTCGAAAAGATAGCCGTTTACAAAAGTATAGCATATACCATCGATACAGGCAAAGTTCACCTCGGTCAGATGCAAGAAAGGAATAACGTGTATATATGTGGTTAAATTATGCATGTCGTTGTTATTTATTTTCTAAACAAATATACTTAGTAAGAACATTAATATGGAATATACTACAGTCATTTATACTTTTTTCTCCCATCTACATAACATTATTAAATATAGGCATTACTTTTGCGAAGGTTTGCTACGAAGTTTGTAACACCCAGAAGGAAACGTCGGAGACCCTATAAAATATATATATAAATGATCAGCATGATAAGCTGAGTCGATTTAGTTATTTCCGTCTGTCTGTCCGTCTGTTTGTATGTATTATATGCGATCTAGTTGCTCAGTTTTTGTGATATCGATCTTAAATTTAGCACATGACCGTTTCTCCGCTCATTTGTCAAAATGGCCTGAATGGCCACAAACTGAACAATCGATATCAAGTTCTTGTATGGTAAACGTTTTCGTTTGACGAGATATCTTCACAACATTAGGAACAGATCATTATCTAGGGCAATAATGGAATCTCCGAAGAAATTTTTCGGATCGACTCGCTATAACAATTGTCATACTAGCTGAACGATCGGAATCAAGTTCTTCTGAGGAATCTTTTGTATTTGTGAATAGTATTATAGCTTCGATGCAACCAAAATTAACGTTTTTTCTTGTTTTTAATTGATTTAATTGTCGCCGCATGCGGACATATGGTAGAATAGATTATTGCCAACCTCTACTCTGCTAACGAATTTTTCATGCTTGGTTGAATTACTTACAACTTAAATAGTTACATAAGGAAAAAATACATATTGTCATCGAAAACATTACACATTATATGTTATAAAACTTTTGGATGCGTGTGGCAAATTGCCTGAAATATACGATTATTTTGTACTTTCAAATTGTTATTACTGTGTATCAGAGCACTAGACTTTTCGTAATTCCATTCTTTTATTAGACTTTATTCTCATAGAAATATGAATCGTGAAAAAATAGACCTTCTAGTAACATATGTATCTGCCGTCGATACAGTTTTTTGAGCGGCAATTTTCTACTAATTTTCATGTTATTTGCTTACGAAATTTGTTAGGATTTTATAAGGTGTTATATATAGTAATACTAGCTGTACTTGGCGTGCCCGATATGCCCCTTTTTATACTCTCAACATGTTGCTACATAGTACAATATAATAGTTTTGGTCACCTAACGGTTGTTTGCATCACATAAAGTTAGTCGAGATAGATATGGAGTTATATATACATACCTATATAACAGTTTTAAAATTCTGATTCTGTCACTTTACAGTATAGAAAATGAGAACCAATAGAGATATCGGGTTAGATAGCATAGTGCTGTTTAAATGTTCAAAAATTGCAGTAGCTATTTGTTGCTATTTTATTTTTTTGTAGTAATAAAATATTTAAATGATTCTTACATGAATTTTGAACACATGCTTATGATTTGAAATATGATTTTCTCGTTTATGAATTCAGCTGTTCTTGAGTTGTAAATAATGTAACTAACACGACTTTCTTCTTCTTCAAACGTGATTTTGCAACAAAGGCCTACTTTAGGACCTTCAGCAGGAATAAACGAATACCTGTGCAAATTTTCATGTGTTTCCGTGCTGTGGTTCGGACCTTCTATGGTTACATACCGAAAAAGCGTTTAATTTTCATATACATACTAGAAGACCCCGGCCACGCCTTTCTGTGGCTGAAGTATAATTAAATTAAATTAATACGCCTATAGTGCACCAATTTTATATAATATAGACAATATTCCCATCATATTTTTATATAAATGAAAGGAATTAACTGTCACTTTTAAAAATATAACTTATAAAAAGGATGAACAACGACGAATATAAATTTGCTCCTCCGAATAATTTAATATCGTATACATATGTACGTGTCTACAGTTTTCTAGACATTTTTTCAGGGTATTGCATGTACTAATCCGGGAGTTATATTTCAGGATATCAATGACTTATGCCTGACGATAGAACAAACATTCAAATGCATTTAATAATATCTTTAAGTGAGTAAAATTCTGAGGTTTATATTCCACTTAATATTCACATATTAATAGTGAAAAATTTTGATAGATGTTAATGTTTCTGATGTGGTCCCCTTTTGATGCTTACCCAAAATATATTTAAATGTTGGTCCAACTATTGCTCCGAGTGAATTTTTTTCCGCCATACCACCAACGAGAAGGTCAATGTTTTCAACATTACTGTATGTACCTTTTAAAACATTTAGGTCCTAAAAAAAATGTGATGAGGAGTACATCGTCATTGCGGCAAAACTCAACAAAAATAATTATACGTAATTCAGTAACATAAAAATTTAGGGTATTGAACAAAGCAAATGCAAAAATGTGGACAACCACATATGTACATGTTTTTGCTGACTCAATGACCTTCTGTGATTTCCATTAGTTTTTAGTACGCACGTCAATTTCAATAAACCTCTCGAGATCTTTCCAGCTACCGATGTTTTTCCCAATGGACAGCTTCAAATAGTCAATATAACCTCTTAAACCATGATCTCGACCTCGTTGAATATCGAAAGCTAGTAGATCACCATGTGTGGGTCTATTCACACCAAATTTATTCCAAATAAGCTGAATATATTTAAAGGTAATAATAATTAATTGTTAAGTTATTGCACTACAATATTTTCCGCACTTACACTTTCCTCATATATTGTATCTAATTTCATGGCATGCTGATTCAAAATCGAATCGAGTATGGTATCAATTTGTTCATGAGTGTATTCCAAATCAGGCTTATATGTTTGATCAAGGAGTGAAACTACATTTTCGTTGCGGATGACACTGCTGTGTACAATATTATCTAACTGATCAAGGCTACAGATTTGTTAAAAAAATAGTAGTCGTACATACCTACTTTCTTGAGGAGGCGAACCTGATGTAGTGTACTCCACACGTTTTACTTCAGTAAAATTCTGCAGGTAATTGGGCATCATGGACATGTAAAACCGCATGGCTGCAATCCCAAATTCATTTGAAATTCTGTCAACGGTCACAGATTCCTTGTTAGGCGAAACTTCTTTTATTTTACCAGCAACATCCTCACCCAACACATTGGGCACCCACTCGTCAAAAACAATATTCCTATAGATTTGTATGTTAATTGCTTTTGCCGTTCTGAAAAGATTTTCGTCCTGCCATGATGGATATTTAATAGTTAGTTTTTTGGCAATCTGGTTATGATTTCTCATAAATAGTGTATAAATAGATATCGTTAGTGGGCTTTTGTTTACGCGAGAATCACCAGCCATGAAACATTGGCTAGTTACCCTGGAGGGATTTTTGAACGCACAATAATTACTCCAATCGCCAGTTATCACAGCTAGTCCGTCTGTATACATTTCTGAAGGCGTTACACTTGCGGTGGATTTAATTTGACCGTTATTCCACGTGCGCATGCGCTTTTGCGCCTCATCTGTGAAACCGTAGAGTTGTGATAAGTCCAAAAGGGATGTTGCTTGGTTTAACTGACAAAATTAATTGATTTTATTATTAAAGGACTACATATGTACATATAACAAAAACAATTACTTGCTCTACAGCGCCGAATGTGCATTTTGTGCTGGCAGCAACAGCACTACGAACATAATTTAAGCAGTTAACTTTAGCATACTGCGATTCATCGCTTTTTATTGTCAAAGGAGCACAAAAGGGATGTCGATATCTTGGTAAGAGCTCAAAGCTGTTACTATCGCAGCATTCAATATGACTACCGTCTCCTAAAATATATTAATTACAGTTAAGGTGACAGAAATCTATTTCAAAGCGTTTACTCATTGTTGTAACTACAGGTTGACTGAGATCATGTTCAATGAATTGAGTCCACTGTACCACAGCCAGGTTTCTTTGCTTGTCCTCGAGATCTTTTTTCACACTCAAGTTGTGCAGGGATTTACTTACCCAGAGAGGTGAAACAAGAGGCAACATCTAAAAAAAAGTTATTACATTAATACTGCTTCCCAGTACTTACAAACGTGACTAAAAACATACCTGATAGATGCCATCCTGATAATGGCGATCCAATAATCTTCGAAATGCGTTGTGGCCATTGCGCCGATTTTCAATTATTCTTAAACATTCTTGTAGTAAGTCACTGCCTTTTGGAAGTGTCTTATTTGATAAAAATGTTTCGCAACTCTGGCCATCGATTCCATGGGGTAGACATTTACTATTGAAGACATAAAGACTAGTAGCCAAAAGCTTTCTAGCAACATCATTGTCCATTTTGGCTTCTTCGTTTGGCAAAGCATCCAAAAGGTTATGATGTGAAATACCACCATCTTCGACAATTACTCCGGATTTCACCAGATTTTCTTCTAGCCTGTATGAAAAACTTACTACTTGACTTTAAATTTTAAAACTTTACAAAAAAAGAAAATCAACGGCTAAAAAATCAGTACCCGATAATCAATTGTGGCCTTACTTAGTTCCGATTTCACTTAGTATAGCTAAAGATAAAAACTTAACCGACAGATCGCTAAAAATGCGTTTTCACAATGTCTACTTGGTGCACATCTGTCGATTAAATTCTGTTTAAATTGGTAAAAGAATAACTTGCTAACTAATATTATATGTAAGAAATTACATTTTAGCTTTATTTTTACCTTTTCTGTCTGTTTACTGATTCGATTCCGAAGTCTAAGTCACGCTTCCAATCTTCAGAGGGAATACTATTCAAGTATTGAAAGCTTCTTTCATCAATTGTGTGGCCATCTGTCAGAGGGCAAGGAATATATTTAGGAATATATTATATAACAATAATCTATCACTTTATTGACAATATGGGGACCCTCTATATACATTAAGTCAACCTTCATATAGAAAAGGTTACAACAACTTATTTTAGATTTCAAAAATATTTAATTTCGAAGTAAATATTTTATACATCAACGTTCATAGAATACAAGGTTACGACAACCTTGACGTCCTTGAACGAACATCGTCATACTTACAGTTGGATAAATGTGAAAAACAAAAAAATTTATTTATGTTAATGTTTTTTCATTTTATTTTTGCAATTTTTGTTCAATTATCTCATATATGTATCTCTATTAAGAAATCTAGTTTCAAAATATATTTGATATAGCAAAAACAAACGTTTAATTTTGTCACTACTATAATAGTAGTTTTGTTCACCTAGCGGTTGTTTGTATCAGGTTGACAAGGCGTCTGTCCGTCCGTCCACCTGTCCGTGCAAGCGATACCTTGAGTAAAAATTGAGATACATATGTTCTTTAGCACCCAAGGTAGGTTGCCACGCCCACAACATGCCTTTAAATGAAAATTTATAAAGTGCCATAACTAAGCACTAAATGAAGATACAAAACTGTCGTTTGTTACAGGGGATCGGAGTAGTGAGGGATATCTGTAGGCTAAATGGTTTTATGTACTTATCATCCAAACCATTAAATGTAATTCAACCAAACTGCATGGAAGGAAATTTATACACTGTGAAAATGAGTTAAATCAGATAATGACCACACCCACTCCCCATATAAAGGTTTTGTTGAAAACTACTAAAAGTGCGATAAATCAATAAATAAATGCGCCAGAACCATACAATTTTACACCCGATATGGTACAAAGAGCGATATGAAAAAATAGTGTAGGTGATGTCCCAATCTGAACTAATTTCCGAAAAGATAAATGATAAACAAAAAAACTAGTAACATAATTAATGATTTCCAGTCCATAATACCATGTAGCCAAGGCTTGGCTGCTAAGCAGAGGCGGAGTTTGCTGTTAGTAGTGCGTCAGCCAGAGAGTGGTCTGCTTATAAGATAGAGGACCCAGCGAGATTGATTGCGTGAGCTAAGAGACAAAGGTCAGCTGAAGAGGCTAAGCCGACAGCCCAGAGACCGAAGACTTATTGTGTGACGCCTGCAAAATCATTTGCTGATGTGATCATTATCATTGGTATGCTGGATGAGGGAGATTCCGAAGGAAAAATTCCTAGAGCCCAATGGAAATGGATGCAAGCCGCAGAGAATACAATAATTAATGCGTCTTCTCCACCATAGCAAACTAGATTCTCTTGCCCTATTTAACCGCACGGCAGAAGAACGGCCTGACTTCGTCCTTATTCAGGAGCCATGGGTTAATACAGGGCGTATTTGTAGACTGAGGACACCGGGGTATAATTTATACATTGCCAGCTTCGTTGGTAAGGCTGGGACATAGACATTGGCTAGTAAAAGCTTCATGTCTTTTTATTACACAGCTATAGTAATAAAGACACAACAGCAGTAAGCTGGGAGACGGACGTGAATAAATACCGGCTGGTGTCATGCTACATGCCGTATGACGAAGAAAAAGTACCATCACAGCTGATTAAAGAGTTGGTACGAGACTGCGAAACATCCAAGTGCTCGATTTATCTTGGCTGCGACTCCAATGCATATCACACACTATGAGGCAGCACTGACATCAACGAAGCGGGTGAATTACTCTTTAATTGTTTACTAGGAACTAAGCTTTTGTTATGCAACAGAGGCAGTATGCCAACATTTATAACTAGAAATCGACAGGTAGTATTAGACATAACACTTGTGTCGGAAAAACTGGTAGATAAAATGACCCATTGGAGAGTTCTTGAGGATCACTCCTTTTCATATTACCGCTACATGGAGCATATAATTGAAGGTAATGTAGATAGGGTAGAAAATTTTAGGAATCAGGAAAGCGAACTGGCAGATGCCCCCGCAAGAGCTAAAAAAGCGTATTCCTCATCGTCATTTCAACCAGAGCACAAAGAGGACCTAGACATCCTCGTTACACAGTTCACAGATTTTTGTCGACAAGCGCTAGAGGTGGCTTGTCCAATAACACGTAGTAGGGAAAGAATTAGGCCCCCCTGGTGGTCCCCATACTTAAAAACTTGCAGAAAGATTGCAGGAAGCAATTCAACTTAGCCAAACTATCCCCAGGGGAAGAAGAGTGGGGCAACTATTATGACCTCTTCAGAGCAAATAAAAAAGAGGTAAGGAAGGCAAAAAGAATTTCGTGGAAATATTTTTGTCATGATATCGCAAATACGGCAGAAGAATAAATGGATACTCACTTCCCAGACAGTTCCGAAATCTACACAATGGGTGGAATGGAATTCAGAAGCCAGACCACAGCTAGACGGTATCCAGTGAAGAGTATCTAGGCCTGTAAATGGATACTCACTTCCTAAACATATAAATCGCCGGGACCAGACAGGATATTTCCGGCCCAGTTACAGCAGTCTCAGAGCTTAATAATAAACTAGTTATAAAAAGCCTGTAAATGGATACTCACTTCCTAAACATATAAATCGCCTGGACCAGACAGGATATTTCCGGCCCAGTTACAGCAGTCTCAGAGCTTAATAATAAACTAGTTATAAACCATGCTTAAAGGGGCACTGCAATTAAACTATATTAACTCGTTATAGAGGAAAGTCAAGGTGATATACATATAAACCAAAGGCGGGCAGAACCTTACACACCTAATTTAAATACACACACTGCAGTTTCGCAGCACGCGAATTCGAAGGGAAAATCCAGAGAAACGGAATTAAGCTCAGTTGCAGAGATTGAAAAATCTCTGGAGATAAAAGAATACACCCTCGTAGCTTTCTTAGACAAAGAGGCACTTTCAATAACAGCCGAAGGCCATACTGAGCGCGCTTAAAGATTTGGGAATCCCTGAGCCTCTCAAGAAATTAATTGAACAGATGCTCTTGGGTAGTTCAATTATTTCAACGCTGGGAACTTCAACGATGTGCATATCCACCCCAAGGAGGCGTGTTATCCCCATTTCTCCGGATCTGAAAAACAAAATGTTGGTGGATCTGGAAAAGAAGGTGTTGTGGCCTAAGCTGACGATGTGGCAGTTTCGGTTATAGGCAAGTTCCCGAATACGTTCGCTAGCCTAATGCAGACAATACTAAACGATATTAACCAATGGGTCGCATCATGCAGACTGAACCTGAATGCTAGAAATACAGGAATAGTATTGTTCACTAAGAAACACAGTACTCCAGAAATTACGCCCCCATTATTAAGTGGCACCAGGCTAACGATAGGAGACAAGGCAAGCTACTTGAGACTATCCTAAACCTTTTCGCTGCTGTTTGTGCAGTTTGACGCAATTGAATTATGAACACCCCGGTTTTGGACCGACCAGGGTTATTTTTTTGAAGCGCGGCCGAAGGCCGCCAGTGCGGAAAGGAGTTCGACGATCTCCGATATTCATTCATTCCATAAAAACGCGCCACAAAAGAAATTTTGACTATTACATTTCTTCAGTATATTTTTTTCATAAGAAAATGTTTAACACACTGAACTGGTAATTACAGCTAAGAGATCTGAATTCTACAGAATTTTGCCGCTACAACAACAACAACTAAGTGACTTGAATATGTGATATGTGCAAAGTGTGTAAATAAATATTGAAAAATATACATAAATTATTGAAAAAATTCACTTTCCGCTCACGGATTTGTAATCTACATAACTTTTAAGGGGTGACCGACGGGTAATTCCTTCGAATTCATAAAAAGAACACTTAATTGTGTCTCCCCTTACAACCCCAACCCCCTACGAAGTGGGGGTCATTAAGTACATATAATATTTACCATTAAATTAATTAAATATGAGTACGGATAGGAGATCGGCAACTTACTTATATTTAGCATTAACGTCCAGCAACATATAATCAAAATCCCCAGATCCAATTTTACGTAGTAGCTACAACTATTTCGTACATGAAACATGTTATCCCAATAATTTGATATTATATAGAAAACTACAAATCTAATGTGTTCTGTTACAGTGCTACTTTAAAACTGCCTATATACGTTCTTTTATAAACACATGTTGTAACTGCGTCAACGAAATATTTCATCTTCACATCAGAATAAAAATTGAATTGGTATAAGTATGTACATATAATACATATATATATTATATGTATGTATTTAAATCAGTGATGATAAGGATTCGCATCTACTAGGGCATTGATACTACATACACATGTACCTAGAAACATAAACATGTTTATCGCTTGTATGAACATCATTGACCCACAACCCGACTCATCTATTTATTTGCATCCCTACATCTTATTTTTATATATATATATATATACATGCACACATAAATACATATATTTATTTATTTTTTTTTTTTTACTAATATATATATTTTGAGAGTCGTTTTTTCTAGCAAAGCGCGAGAACGGTTGTACTTACAGCTATTTTTTTTTTTTAATTTAATTAGAGATTCTATTTATATATGGACTTCTCATCCATCAACTTTTTTATCAAAAATATATTTTAGCTTTAAAGTGTTACAGGAGCGTTTATTACAACATTGAGCAGAGAAGGTAGATATTTAAATTGTCTGGTTGGACCTTCTCTATATTTTGCATTCTCTGAAAACAGGTCTTCTAGAACATTCTGGCAACTACGAATTCGCTAACTCGGTGCTTCTGCAATTTATCGTCGATTCGATTTTGTTCTATCATCCGTGTTCGTCACAATTGATGCGGTAACGTTAAGTTTTGTTATCGCACATCTCTAAATACATTGGTTTATTAAAAATGCGTTAGCCAGAGGGAAGAATTTTAATTGACATTTGTAATACAAAAACTAATTGTAATTTTTAATAGATTTCGTTATATCTTATTAAAGTTATTGACCAGAAATATTCAAGTTATTTCAAAATATAAAGTAGGTTTTAAATAAGATGCCATCGTTGGAAGTGGAAAATGGTGGAATTATTCCCTCTATTCAGGGGGACGATCAATCAAAACCTATGTCTGGACCCATAATTGGGATAATATATCCTCCGCCGGAAGTGAGGAGTATCCTTTTAACATATGTCGTATTATTAAATCTAACTTACATACTCGTATACATATTAATTTTCCTTAACCATGAAAATTATTTTTCATAGATATTGTTGATAAAACTGCTAGCTTTGTAGCTCGAAATGGACCTGAATTTGAAGCGCGTATCAGACAAAATGAATTGGGCAATGCCAAATTTAATTTTTTGAGTACAGGGGATCCTTACAATGCATATTATAGGCACAAAGTAAATGAATATAGGGAGGGAAAAGGTAAGAATTAAAAGTACTTAAACAATATACAAACTTCTTAATTCTGTATGAAACCTTCTTAAAAACAGATGCATCGGGCGGCCCAAGTGTTGTTACTAGTGTTAAACAATTATCTGTTACAAGTGCTGCACAGCAAAAGCAACAGGAACTTCTAAAACAAGTAGCTGAGCAACAATTTGTACCAAAAGACCCTCCCTCAGATTTTGAATTTATTGCAGACCCTCCGTCAATATCTGCTTTGGATTTGTAAGTATATAACTATCTTAAAAAATTGTTTTTTTTTCATAACGTATTTTACAGAGACATTGTTAAATTAACAGCGCAATTTGTAGCCCGAAATGGTCGTCAATTTTTGACAAATCTCATGAATCGTGAACAACGTAATTTTCAATTTGACTTTTTGCGACCCCAACACTCATTGTTTCAATATTTTACAAAGTTATTAGAGCAATACACAAAAATATTAATTCCACCAAAAGACCTATTAAATAAATTACGTGTAGAGAGTTCGGAAGGACGAACCAGTATGAATTTAGTTTTAGAACAAGTAAAATACAGGGCAAACTGGCAAAAGCATCAAGAAGCTCAACGTCGACGTGAAGAGGAGAAAGTTGAGAAAGAAAGAGGTAAGATACACGCTATATATTTATTTTTAATAATATTATAAAGAACTTTTTGTCAGTGGCTTACGCTCAAATCGATTGGCATGATTTCGTAGTGGTTGAGACAGTGGACTATCAACCTTTTGAGACAGGAAATTTTCCACCACCAACAACACCAGAAGAAGTAGGTGCTCGAGTACTAATGGAAGAACGATTGCTGGAAGAAGATGGGGATATAGAAATGCAAATTGAGTCAGAAGAAGAGGAAAGCCAAGAGGAAACAGTCAGACTTAAATTGTCACAAATGGAAAATCGGACTGGTATACAAATGAAAAGCACTACATATAATCAACAAGGAACTAACGTAAAGAAAGATAATACACAAGTTCAAGACATGGATGAAGCCTCTAGTGATGAAGAGTCACCATCTAACTTAAAGATGCAGCCACCAGTAGCACCTCTTCTACCACCAACACACGATAAGGTTGTGGTTAAGAAATACGATCCGAAAGCTATTCAGCAAAAACAACAGAAACCAGCAACCGCAGATGAGTATCTGATTTCTCCAATAACAGGGGAAAAAATACCGGCATCGAAGGTGGCAGAACATATGCGCATTGGTTTGTTGGATCCTCGTTGGGTTGAACAGCGTGATAAACACACCGTTGAAAAAATTAATCAAGATACAGTATATGCTGCTGGTACTGCTATTGAGGCTAGTCTAAAACAATTAGCAGAACGTCGTACTGATATTTTTGGTGTTGGCGATGAAGAGACAGTTATCGGAAAGAAATTGGGTGAAGAGGAAACAAAAAAGGATGATCGTGTCACTTGGGACGGGCATACATCAAGCGTGGAGGCAGCAACGCGAGCGGCACGAGCTAATATTACTTTAGAAGACCAGATCCATCAAATTCATAAAGTATATTTATATATTTTTTTTAATAACTAATTATATAACACAAAATTTAAATATAGGTAAAAGGCCTTCTTCCAGATGAAGAAAAAGAAAAGATTGGACCTAAACCAGTTACCAACAAACCTACATTGTCAGCTCCACCACTGTCACATCAGGCAGCTATTAAAGGTCATTCTCAAGTTGGATATCATGCTGTTTCTCACCACCACCATCAATCACAGCAACTGCCGCAACAACAAACGCACAATCAGTCATCTTCGCATAACATGCCACCTTCTGCACCAATAATGATGATGCCAATGAGACCACCGCCCCCAATGTTAGGTATGGAATTTGTCGAATTCATAAAATTTCTTAAAATAATGTAAAATTAGCAGCTCCACCATTCCCCGTAGGTAGTTATATGAATATGCAATCTGGTGGACCCCCTCAAATGTCATCAGTACCAAATGTACTGGATCAAACAATGATGTCCCTTCCACTAATTTCAGTAGATGAAGAGCCACCGAACAAAAAAATGCGATCAGAAGATAATCTGATTCCAGAAGAAGAGTTCATATCAAAACATAAGGTATTTATAAAAAAAGCGTATAACTACAATGAAATTTTTTTTTATTACCAAATCGATTAACTTTATAATATAATATATACAGAAGTGCCCTGGAGACGATCAAATAATTCCATCAATGCTTTAAGTGTATTCGTGTCGTCGGCTTTTATCGGCTACACGTACGCTACACCGACTTGTTGTCGGCTCTGTTTGATGAATATAAAAAAAATTTCTGATATTTGAATTTGTCATTTGCATAGTGACATTTAAAAGATGAACAAGTGCGCGGACGAAAAAAAAATTTTTTTTAGTCAAAAGTCTAAAATGTAATTAAAAGAGAGATAAAATGATTATTGACGTGTTTGTTTGAACGTTTGCGGGCAAGACTTCACTCACGCATATGCAATGCTTGACTTAATTATTTGATGGTCTCCAGGGCTCTTAAATCTCTTAATCATATTAATAAAAATTTCTTTTGCAGAGCCCCATTACTATTCAAATACAAATTCCTAACGTAGTTGACAAGTCGGAGTGGAAATTAAACGGACAAACTATAGCATTTTCATTATCGCTCGCAGATACTGTTTCTAACTTAAAAGCGAAGATCCAAGATGAAACTGGAATGCCCCCAGCTAAACAGAAAATTTCATATGAGGTTAGTACTGTCCAGAATCCTGAATACTCATATTCATTTTTAGTTTATTATCCATTTTACCAGCTTAAATGTTGCAACCATAGTTCTGTTCTATTAACTAGGATACCTAAAAAGTGCAATGTAATTTATACCTGTTCAAGCCTTAAGGCACACAGGGAGTGGACCACACGTTATGTGGCCCCAGGCTGCCAACGCATAACTGACACAAGCCTTTACTGCGGTGCATTTAGTTCGCCACACTGCGCCGCCACTCCAGTCGAATCGCAAACAAAGGACCTCTACGGCCCCAAGGAGCCCAACTGGGTAGCATGACGCTCAGTCTGATCAATCCCCCTCCAACCTTCATTACGCTCTAGTCCTCGTGCGAGAACCACTCGTTAACTCTTGGTTCCTCGTACAGTTGTTGTTGTTGTTGTAGCGACAGAATTCTGCCGAGTTGACAGTCCTTGGTCGGAATAAATCCGGGTCCGTTCCGGTTACGTAGAAACGACTGTCGTCGTACAGTCTGCCCTGTGGGTCAGGCCGCCATACGTCGGAAATCACATCAGTCAAATGCACCGCTCTTGTCATTTCCCGACGGGTTCCGGCATCCGGTATGGTGGCCCCATGCTGCTGGAGTTTGCCTCGAAACATCCCTATAGTGGCGTCGGCAAACAACACCACAGTGCGACAACCGTGTTAAATTTAAATACTACAAATTTTTTTAAAGCAAACCTATCTGCCAAAATTTAAAATTCAAAAAAGCATCACTGTCCTAGCTGTTACGCAAAACTTGCAACATTTGAAAAGTAGTTGCACAAAAAATTACACCAAAACCAACTGTGCTAGCTAAAAAGTAATTGTTAGTGATGTGATGTTAAATCTAATTTCAATATGAGAAGTTTGGTTGATATATTAATTTCAAATAATTTCGTACCGCAATTTGTGGGCTTATATATATTAATCAATCGAACTTCCTTTTGACAATAACATTGATTGCTTATTATAAATATTTGTGTATTTTCATTTCAGGGAATGTTCTTCAAGGATAGTAATACTATGGCGTTCTATAATCTACTTAGTGGTGCCACAATACATCTACAAATCAAAGAACGTGGTGGACGTAAAAAATAAATTTCTTAAAATTTTATATTTAAAACAGACAAGGGAATTAAATAACGTTTTGTAAATCCTCTTAAAATCTCTGGATTATTTTCATAAACTCAATAATTATGACTTTCTGTGTTTTATTTTAATGTTTTGCTCCATAGAAATAAAGATGTAACGATTTACAGTAATATAAATTAATTTCTTAACTTACTTTTCAAATCTGTCTGCGACTATGCTCTTGCTTTGTTTCTGATAACAAAACCTATAAAATTGGTTTCTGTTACACCCAAAAACGATACAATTTCCGTTTCGAACGTCAAACCAATAATATCTGAATTCATGACACCTACTACATTTTTTTATCGGTTTCAATTCTGATTCCGACAACTATCAGATTCTACATTTTATACAATCAATTTAATAAATTAAATCATCAGGATGAATTTAAAATTGTTATATATGGGAAGTAGGCGTAGTTATAGTCCGATGTAAGGTAGGGATGTCTGGATAATATTACACACCAAATTAAGTTAAAATTGGTCAAGTAATTCCTGAGATATAGGATTTCACGCCCAGCGTCCAATGTATCAACAGGCTCCTTTGAAACTTTTCCGTTCATATAAGACGTGAAATTTAATTCTTCTATGGTGTTTATTTAGTGAGCAATCGCAGTGTTAGTAGTTTTCAAAATGACCGTTATATGGAGAGTGGGCATAGTTATGATTTAAAACACATTCACATACAGATATAGCATAGCATATAGAGCTAGCGCGGATGAGGGACAACAGTGCCTCCCCTGCCTCAGAGAAGCGAAAGGGTGGCAATACCGCGACCAACAGAAAACGGAGTAGTGGAAATCGAAGTCAACGCCCAGTAAACGCAACTCAGACCGCAAGGCGGGATTGCGAAAAAGCAGCGCCTTCGACCACCCAAGCCGCGAAGCGCAAAAGTGGGCAGCTGACGCCACAGGAGCCGCCTAACTCCAAACGGCCAAGGGGCAACAGCGCACAGGCGACCGGAGGCCATCACTCCACCCTGAATCCACCCCGGGCAGTGGAGGGGCAGATACGGAGGGCGGTCAGGATGAGGACCAGTTCCTCATGGAACCGATCCTGTAGTGGAAGGAAGTGTGGATCCATACAGGGAAGTTGCCCAGGTGAACCTGCACCACGCGGCGTCGGCCTCGGCTGTCATCGCGAGCAGGTTCACATCGGATGGCCTTTGCATACTGTCGATCCAGGAGCTATGGATCTACAAAGGAGAGGTCAGAGGCCTCAAAAGAGAGTCAAACAGGGTAATCTGGAATCTATCTAGTGAGAGACCTAGAACCAGCATAGTAGTTAGACAAGATATTGATTTCTTTTGTATTTCAGGAATTTTGTTAATGAGTTCCATCTTCTCTGAGCTATTTGTTAAAATGCATATAAAGCCCTCTTTTGATCGTTCCGAGTGGGTATGGTATTGACCTCGCCTCGGATTCGTCTAAAGAGGCCCTTAGGTTTGCCAACTCGTCTGCCTTTTCGTTACCGAAAATGTTCCTGTGACCTGGAACCCAAATTATCAGGGATGTTGCAGAATGTGATAATTTTCGGAATCAGAATTGAAACTGATAAAAAAAAACTACGTGTCATGAATTCAGATATTATTGGTTTGATGTTCGAACAAATATGTTCTAAAAGACGAAAATCCAATCAGATCCTGTGACCCCACTGAAAAAAAGAATTGGTTTGCAATATTGACAACTGAGCAAATCTGTCTTGGATTCTACAACACCTCTGTATGGACAAGTCGAGTTGACTTGACAATGAGCTTAAAGTCTTTCTGCAGTTGTTGACTATAATTGGTATAAAACATTTTATCTTTGTATATTTTGACGTTTGAATAAAAAAATATGCTTGTACATTAATATATAAAATATAAAAGACTGTTTAAGGAACAATTAGTATTTTTATAATATTACAATTATGTAAATTTAGATATTGTTTGGTATTTAAAATAATTACCAATGGGAATGTTTTATATAGACCTATTGAAGTACGTTCAATTTTGTGCCAAAACTATTGCCATTTTACGATAGCGCTCTAACATAGGTGCATAGATTTGTTCACAATCTTTGCTGGGTTCACAAATTAATTTTAAAAGATTTGGAATAAATTGCATAATATAATCATGGTAGTTTAGCGGTGTCAACGTTGAATTCTCTATATTGATATTTCCGTTGCGTATATCATTGGATGCTTTAATTGAATTTAAGTAAAGAGAATATTTTGCCCGGTATGCCGCACCAAATAAAGCCGCTTCACTTTCATTCTGCGTAAAGAAAAAAATATATTAAATTTAAAAATATACTTATTAATACAGGACGCATCATTTCATTCTTGACCTGCACAAAAACTGGAGCATTGAAAACATCCGAAACAACTTGTAAAATCGATTTATTTACCGAAGCACCACCAGTAGCTATTATTTTTGTATCAATGCCGAAATGAAAGCCCATGTTCGCAGCTACAGCTCGTTTGTGCAACATCTGTCCCTCAATCAAGGCACGAATTTCAGTTTGAGGCGATAAAAATCTGAAACAAAATACATTTGTATTTGCTGAATAACAAGTATGTATATAATTAACTTAGTTAATTTAAAATTCTGTACAAATTTATTGATGCGAGGCAAGGGGAAGCGTAGCCGACGGAATAAATAGCATATTCAAGCTATAATGATGAGCGATGCTCGAAGAATACAAAACACTAAAGCCTGTTGTAATAATTGTTGGAAACCATATATCGGCCAATATGTGAGTTATCTTAGTGAAAACGAGAAGCGTGTTTTACTAATATTTAACAATGTATCTTTGTGTGAAAAATTGAGAAAATCGGGTGAAAACTTGTCCTGGTGCCAAAAAAAACTAATATCCACTTTGGTGATGGTAAGTGAAGTACATTAATGAAACTCAGCATATTACTAATATGTGGCATGTTAATAGTATGTGGTATTGAAAATAGATAAAAATCGGTTCAATACATCCCTTAAGCCTCATATACCTAATATACAACTTCCAGTTGGGCTTATACCGTATATAGGAATTACCCCCACTCACATTTTCGTTTTCTAACAAGCCCTATGACGAATATGTCGTTCAGTGTGTGAGTAATATATTTATAAAATAAATCCAATCAGCCCTCCCTTTCTCTGTCCCCAATATAGCATATATAATGATTTCCGACATTCCACCTGATTTTAAACCGTGCAGGTTGGTCAAAATGAGTGATATTTTAATACAATTAAATGGACAAGTTCTTTAAAAATTATGTGCTTTACCACTGAATATAAATATTGTAGATTTGGTCTAGACTTTGGTATAAACCTCATATCACAATTAGTATAAAGTTTTGCCAAGATTTATAAGTATTTTGGCGGCTTTGTTCCTTGCATGCTGCAAGAGTATGAAATGTTCGATTACACCCGAACTTAGCCCTTTCTATCTTGTTTAAATTTTAGTTATTTTATTATAAGTTCATCATTAAGTTTATACTTATGATTTTAAAAATATTATATGTCGAAACATTTATTTAAATGATTTATGTATGTATATTGGACCATTATGAAGTCGTACAAGCATTGATTTGCTGTCGGCATTTTTTTATGTCCATGTTATGTCAATATTTATTATTTTAATAATTATTTCTTTATCGTTTGCATTCATATGAACATATATTTAATCAAATACTAATAAAAAAAATACTTATTGTGACGTAAATATAACTATTTGAGACATACTTATGCTGTCGCGACATTTTTTGTAAATGTAAAGCATTTTTAGGGCATTTTTTTACACCTTGGGTTACATTTTTGGCCTCATAGTAAGAATTTCTAACTTAATATAATATAATACAGCATATGTAAAAAACGATGTTCGCCAACAGAAAATTTCAATCAGCAAATTGTGTATATGATGGTAGGGCATATATTGTAAATATAAATAAGATTTCTACTCGTATTCATATTTTACATGAGATATATGAATGAAAAATATTTTTTGTTGTTATTTACGTAAGTACGTAATTTGAAAATCCATATTAATATTATAAAAGTAAATGTAAGTTTGTTTGTTACGTTTTCACGTCGAAACCACTTAACCGATCATTATGAAACTTTGTACACATATACATAAAGGTATTGAAAAGGTCATAGGATACTTATTATTAAAACAAAAGTATATTTTTTACGGATTGAGAAAAAATCTTTTTTGGCAGATTTGATATTTTGTAAATGCGTTGAGAGCAGCAAATTCTGGTATGCTCGATATATGGTACGTAAAATATGGCACAAAGCACCCGACGCCTTCCGCACATAATACCAGTATTTTTCGATTAATATTACTATTAGTTTATGTTAAGAACTATTCTTCCCTTTTTAGTTTGATTTAGTGCTTTAAAATCGTGTTTTTTAGTTTGTATACTCTTGCAACATGTTGCTACAAAGTATAATAGTAACGGTTGTTTGTATCACCTAAAACTAATTGAAATATATATGGAGTTATGTACATATAAATGATCAGGATGACGAGTTAAATTCCGAGTGACTATCTGTCTGTCCGTCCGTCCCTCAAGCACCAATGAGTATATCGGAACTTAGTCATTCCTTACTTGTTTAATATAAAGTTTGTAAGAGTATAAAATGTGTGGTTACGAACTTGGCCTTCCTTACATGTTTTATAAAAAGTGTTAACAAAACATGAAAATATTCAAACAGATGGAATTTAACATTATTTTATATGTGAAGTAGGAACGGTTTTAATTTCGCCAATTTTCACACTGTAAAATAAAAATGCAAATAAAGTGTTATATACCAAACTTGGTTGAAATTGATCGAGTAGTCGCTGAGGTATGAAATTTCACCTGCATTTAACCCTGAACCCTTCTATTATTTTCAAATTTTAAGCTTCATGTTTCTATAGTGAGTTGTCGGACTTTTGGTAGTTTTCAACGTAATCGGAGCAGTGTTATTACCCGATTTCACTTATATTGTATGAACCGATTCCGATTCCCACATTTGCAATACCAAGTTTCATTAAAATATCTACATTTTTAATTAAGTTACCGATTGCAATAGCAGATGGACGGACGAACGAACGAGGAAACAGATATTCCGACCCCTTTTCGTTATCTTGCTCATTACATATATATAATCTATATCTAACTCGATTAGTTTAAGGTAATACAAACAACCGTTATGGAAACAAAACTATTATACTCTGTGACAACATGTTGCATTTATTAATATTGCAAAGCAACAAAAAACGTTTGTAATTTATAAACATATACAGATTTTATTTGCGTCAACTTTGCTCATCAGAATTGCTTACATGCTTGTAAAAATTGTTTTAGATTATATACTCGTACATACGTTTGTATATCAGCATCATATCAAAAGAGTGAAACATATATAATAAAATGTTTAGATTATAACTTACTTTTGCACACCTTTCGCTGTCTCAGAAGTTTCCCCCGAACTACTTCTAGTCCAGCGCAAAACTCCTTGAATGTTAGGTATTATTTCAATAGAATGAAAATGTAAAGCCATATTGCCGTAATTTCCACGTGGTGTGGAATCAAGTAATTCATTAAACTTCTTCCAGTCACTGTTGACCTCAGTTTTATTAAAATAATCACGTACCAGAGATCCGTTTCGAAAACTAACAACAACAAAAAGAAAAATTAGATAAGCTCATTGATTTGTAGGGTAGTCGTTACTCTAATTAACAAAAAAATAATTTGAGTAACTATACCCTCTTGTACAGAGTCGCCCGCTATTAGAAAAATGTTTTGCTGCTAGTCGGGAGTTGGGATGGAACACAGACCGTCTAACCGGTACATAACGGTGGCAATAATGAAGATATAATAAAGTAATTGGCACCTTCTAAATTTGCAAAAAAAAAAATCATGTTATGTCGGTCGATTTCCCACCTATCCGACTATTTTCGATACGAAACTATTAATTATTTTTGAGTGTAGTTAAAATGGTGTTATATAGGAAGCAGTCATCTAATGCAGTTTTAATGCTTTAATTGATTACACAAATATAACAATCAGGGGTCTTGTAGAATCTGATAGTTGTCGGAAACAGAATTGAAACCGATAAATAGAAATGTAGTAGGTGTCATGAATTCAACGTTCGAAATAGAAATTTTATCGGTTTTGTTATCATAAACAAAGCATGAGTAAGTAATTTATGTTATTGTTACGATTTAATTTATCTATATTTCTATAGTGGAAAACATAAGAATGAATCACAAAATGTCACAATTATTGAGTTTATGAAAAAATTCAGATTTTTAATTTTTTCGTTGCTTTTTTCTTCCAATAAAATAAAATCTAAAATAGGGGAATTCATTGTAAACTTTAGTAGACTTTATTCAGTATTTAAAAATTAATAAACGCTTCCAAATTTATTTATTTGCAATTTTGTCACATTAGTAAATAGCGGATTCGAATATTGGTTCTTGATAACTACGCAAATCTGTCTTGGATTCCACAACACCCCTGAATAATTTTCTACTTGACAGAGATGTCAAACATAGCAAGTATAGCGCCAATGACTTGCTTATCAAAAAAAGGAATCTCGAAAAGTAATTGAAGACAGGAATATCTTGAGACCAGTTGCTTGGACTGATATTTTGTGATAGTATTGCAGGCTTTTCTATAAATTTTTCATACCCTGAACAGGGTTCAGTAAGTTAGCCACGAAGAACACCCAGAAGGAAACATCGGAGACCATATGAAATATATACATAATAGATCAGCATGATGAGTAGCCATGTCCGTCTGTCTGTATATACGCGAACAAGTCCCTCAGTTTTTAAGCTATCGATCTGACCTTGTCCTTTCCTCACTAAGAAGCTGCTCATTTGTTGGAACGGCGGATATCGGACCACCATAGCTAATGGCTGTCATACAAAGTGAACAATCGGAAGCAAGTCTTTTTATGGTAAACTTTTTTATTTGATCAAATATCTTCACGAAATTTGGAATGACATATTTTCTAAGGCAACAATGTTTCTTCCTTGAAATTGTTTAGATCGGATCACTATAGTTTATAGATTCCATACACACTGAACAATCGGAATAAAGTGCTTGTATGGAAAACTCTTTCATTTGACAAGGTATCTTCACGAAATGAGATTGGAATCAGGTTCTTGTAAACCGAAGTTAACGTTTTTTCTTGTTTCATATTACATTGCGACCGAGTGTGTCATGATGCACGTTCGGCGTGAAAATTATTATACAAAATATGCAATATTGTAAAAACGTACCATAATAAACCCATAAATTGATCCATTTCAGTTGGGTGACAGAGCACATGTCCTTCTTCAAGATGAGGCTGCACTTTTAAATTCATCATTAATGTATCACTTGTTCCCAAAGACATGACTAAACTGTCCTGCTCAGTTACCATTCCAGATAACGCCGATAAATTATCACCAGTAAAAGCTGTAACTTTACATTCAGCAAGAAACCCAAAACGTTGCACGAAAAAATCAGAAACATTGCCAATTATTGCGCTGGTGGGAACTGGTTCACCTAACCGCTCTTCCAGGTCAGGAGCACAGGAGTTCAAACATGGTTTCGACCAATTTTTTGCTTTAATATCAAAAAGATTCATTCCCGATGCATCACCATAGTCTATAGGTGCAATATCGCCCAGAAACACTGAAGATAAAAAGCTGCTAACCAAAGAAATTCGTTGGGTCTCTTCATATGCATGCGAACGCTCTTGGTAAATTTTTCGAATTTGTGGACCTGTAAACCGAGCATAACACTTTGATCCTGTGATGTTAACCATCTCCATACGTCCACCAATTGCAGTTTCCATTTCTATGCATTGCTTCTCTGTTGTACCATCCATCCAAATGGGAGTACGATTCACCGTAAAAGCGGAATCATCTATTTGAATATGAAGGAACTTATCGGGATCCAAGTTCTTTAAAGTTTGTACACCATGGCGAGACCAATATAAAGAACCATGTTGCTGTTAAAATTAAAATAAATAAATTTAGTTCATAAGAAATAAACATAATCCACATAAATTAAACACAAACACACAATTTTTTGATTTTCTTTGTCAAATTGAGAGGGGAATGCTGGAATCCGTTCATAAGAGTCAGTAATTGTTGTATTACAGTGATCTGCGTTAGTGATAACAACATAATAACACTAAAATCTGTATGAATTTGTGACATCTGTTCTATATAGAATCGAAAAATAGTTAGATTAAAAGTACATCCAATGGAATACCGGTTATGCAAATATACTCCAAAATTTTCATCTATAGCTACTTACATATACACACTTGTATATATATGTATTGTATGTATATATATTTTATACTTTTATACTCTAGCAACTTGCAAGGATCAAAGCTGAGAAAGAACCCTCACATTTGAGGAAAACTTTATATTAAACAAGTAAGGAAGGGCTAAGTTCGGATGTAACCGAACATTTTATACTCCCGCAAAGTCAAATGGAACTTACTTCTCATGGTCGTTTAGCAAATTGATTATAGCTGACTACGATTGGTAATTTCTCTGCTCTCTTGTCAAAAAATTTACATGTGAAAGCAACACCAAAGTTATCGAGTTTAATTAAAGCAAGAGAGTATTCGGATACCTCATTAAAGTGGTATAACTTCTATATATTTAACGCTGCCCAGATTTGTTTTGCATATTTTACCTCCATTTTACTATTGTGAATGGTTCAAATGAAAAATGAATAACAATTTTTTTATTTTCCTTGTATTTTGAAAACAAAAGATTTAAAATAAATTATAATTTATATAAAACCAAAATAAATGGTGACAGCAATGTTATTCAAATTGATCAGACTTCTGGAAACCGGTGAAAATTAAGCTCTAAGATTCCATTACATACATACAACCCAAGCTAATAAAAGCGTATTAAAAATGCTCTTGTTTTCTAGTTTAAAAATTAACGGTTCAGTTCTGATACCTTTTGCTCTATATAAAAGTTTCTAATTTGAATTGAAATTAGGCGTGGTTGGAATTGAGTATACCAGCATTACTTATAACAAAATTAAAATACATCATCACATGCACAGCACATGTTCATTCTAGAAATGAGATTAGACCTGTATGTACCTGGGCAGAGCCACCTATCGCTTTCACAGTACCAAGATCAGCACCTTGCATCACCAAACGATCCAACACAATATCGATTGCTTTGACCCACATAACAGGTTGTACAAAAACCCTTCAAAAGAAAAATTAAATAGAATAATTAAATAGTTTGTGTCATCATTTCTTACTCATGATTTCTTGATCCGAAATTAGTACCACCATTAGTACGAAATTCAGGCAAGTCAGAGTCAAACTTTACTTCCGCAGATGCATTAACCTCTAATTTGGAAGACAACTGGACTGCTTTAAGCTGGAATATAAAAACATGGATAAGAATACATACTTGTATGTATACGCATTTATGGTATTTGTACATATTTATTACACATACCATAAAAAAAATCAATATTCTAATGATGTTGCAACTTAAGCCGTCAAATTATTTATTTAATTAACTGAACTTTGTATATTGTTTCCGGGATATGAACTCTAAAGCCGAGTCTAAAATACATACGAATATACATACATATATCTATATCTAACTCAACGATTTAGCGGACAAGTCTAAGTTACTGGAACGGACCCGGAAAGGCATAATAAATCTGCATCAAATTACGACTTAAGTATTATATAGGGAGTATTTGTTTTTATGTTTTTAATAGTGATCGAGCCATATAATCAATTGACGCAATAATCTTATCATTTCTCTCTGAACTATTTGACATTAAAAAAAAGACGAAATTTGTGAAGCGTTTATTTAAAAGTAAATTTCATTAAATGAAAATAAAGAAATAAAAACATAAATATGTATGAAGTATTAGTAAATGAACATGTTTTAACTATCTACAAAGGCGCCCAGTTACCACTACACAAGGCATTTTTTTCGCATAATTTTTACGCAAACTGAGCAAATCCCGGTTCATACACAGACTCTCCGAGGGGACGACGAAAGGACCGTGCCACTCATGCTCGGATGGCACGCTTTGTGTTCTTGTTCGTAACAGCTCGCTACTACCATTTCAGCATTCCTTTTCTCTTTGAATGGTTGCAAGAGCGCTCGGTTTTAAATATATACCATTAGTTCAGAACTTTGAAGTCTGTTATCTATAGAATAATAGAAATAATTTGAACAAGTAAGGAAGGGCTAAATTCGGAAGTAAACGAATATTTTATACTCTCGCAAAGTTAAATAGTATACTCGTTTGAGATTTCTTTATATATTTTATTAATTAGAAGTATGAACTGCTGCCTCAGTTATATACAGTGAAGTTAATTAGAGCAATTTGTAAACTAAATTTACTCAAATTATGCGAAATCGTTCTTGTGTTTTTTGTATACGCTTATAATTGATTTTATTGTATTGAGGAGTATGAAAAGAAATCGTTTTTGGACAGTGAACAACATTTTTTTTTATTATATCGATATTATTATACATGTTTTCCTTAAAAATAATTAATATTAAAAACTTTAAAAATTATGTTATTATATTGTCTTGTATATAATATTTTCAATATTAAACATACATTTTTACATTGTTGTCTGATATATTTTGTTATAAGTTTAACATGATGACTGTGAAAATATACCTATCCACCGATTATCACCAAATATCAGAAGAAATATATGTATGTAGAAATCTATATCTATCTCGATTAGTTTAGGTGATGCAAACCTTTTGGTGAGCAAAACTATACTCTGTTGCAACATGTTGCGAAAGAATTCGACATTCATAATTCAATTATTATTTGGTATCTTATTAACATATGTATTATTATATTCTTTTACTTTTTCAAAAACTCGCGGTATTTGTATAGTTTAGGTCCCCCAACAAAGAAAACCCCGAAAATTAAATTTTTTTTTTAAATCATCCTATTTTGACGCGAAGATTACAAATCCGTGAGAGGAAAGTCCTTTATTTTAAATAATTCTATATTTTTTGACTTTCTTAAAAATGAATTTTTACAAAAATTCAAAAAATTTCACACTTTGGACAAAACCGAGGTGTTCATATTTCATTCACGTCGAACACCTTTTCGAACTGGCAAACTTCAGCCGCACTTCAAAAATATTATAATTTTCGCGGCCTCCTTCATTGGGGGACCTAAACTACACATTTACCGAACTCGATTTGAGCAAGCAAGCAAATTCCGGGATACAATTTACACCATATTACTTATTGTTTTTGAATGAATATGTAACATATTTCTTTGTTATCTACTATATCTAAATTAATTTTGGAGAGTTTCCGCAGTATTCAAATTGTGAGAAAATTATATTTGAGAAGTAATTTAACTTAAAGTAGTAAAGAAGCAAAGTAACTCGTTATTATTAAATACCGAAACCCACATAAAGTATATCCATTATCTGATCTGATAGTGCCAATAAAAATGTTATAATGGAATCTAACCGGGAAACCGAACTTAATACAAAATTTCTGGAAATACATGGGATGCATGACATTAAAATAAGACGATAAATACTATTTTTTATGTTTTCTATCTTATAGAGTATTTAACGCGTTTAAAATGTTATACAATTTCAAATTTCTTATTTCATTGTACAAGTTCAGTAAATAAATTCTCTAATATCTTACCTTTTGTGTGCTTAAATCAAAACCTAAATAAGTGCCTTTATCGTCATCAGCTTTTGGAGCCATTTCAAAGAAGTATATGAAGACCAATTATAATAACTCATGGATTTTACAGTATTAAAGTATTAGGAATGGGGAGAAATTTTTGAAAAACTTTTAATCGCCTCGTCAACTGTAAACAGAACAAAATTATTTTCGGTCGCCTTAATATTTTTAGTCAACTATAAATTCGCCGTCTTCACTTTCATACAAAGTACTTATATTTAACCATAAACTTTTTAATCTGCAACCTAAATAGTAAATATCAGCCGTTGCCAGTATCAAACGAATGTCAAACATCGATAAGAAATTATCTAAGTTCCACTATCCACAATTATTTCACCAAAGGAAATAATTCTTGCCACTCAACTGACAGTTTATAAAATTAGAATTAATAACAGCATATTTCTCTAAGCATTCATTACATTGATAAAAAAATTTAAATAATGGCGTCCGCGAACGTTCGAGATATTTAAGAAGAAAACATAGAAGTTGTTATAGAAGAAATAAAGAAATGATTATTTTTATTTTATTATTATAGATACTCCTGCTCTTCTTCGTTTGCCCTCTGCCAGAACTCTCCCTCAGAGTAATTCGGCATGTAAGCCGAGACAAACCAGAGATTCCCGTCACTGTTTTCCAGCCTAGCAGCGACGAGCTCTGCTTCTATCTATATTAGTCGCCGCCAGGAGCTTGTGGCTCTTTGTCCTTAATCCAGAGATTCTATTTCTGTTTAGCCACGGCTCTTGGATAAGGAAAACGTCTGCTTCGTCCCTTCCTAGACGAAGCAAGAGAGCGACGGAGGACACCCTTGTGAGCTGGACATCACATCCTGGCATGTGCTGGAAGACGCATCCATCAACTGACTATCTACCCCTCGTGCTCACTGCGTAGGAGCGGATAGAGTCGTACTCCATTTTAGGGGTGGGAGGGAAGGATTGCAATAACGTAACAACTCCTCGAGTACTTCCGCGGTGAAGGGTTTGGCTGGAATCGAGACAAGAGCACGAAGCCGCATCAGGAGATCCGATTTGCCAACCGCTTTGAGCTTGGCTCCCTCCCATACGTCCCCCACCGTCTTCTACTAACATACCACTCGTCCTTTGTTGATATTGTATTGTCATCTTGTTCATGTTATAAGAGTTTTTGTAATACTAAATTCTTTTACAATAGTTAATTCTTCCGGTCCACTCATAGTAAAATTGAATTTCAAGTTTGTCCATAAATATGTTAATTAAAATGCTTAAAAATATACCGCATATTTACCAATATCAAAATGGTATAATATCATATTTTGTAAACAGCATTAAATATCATTTTATAACAAAAATTAAAAATATTTATAAATTGCCACCCTAACTCATAGAGGTTTTATTGTGAACGTACGCCTGGGATGCCATAGTTACAAGGCATCCCCCATTCGGGGATAAAATGTGTATTTGCTGAACTATAGTTTTTAAGATATTGTGTTTGTAGTTCATAATTTTAAATATTTTAAGTATGTAATTTCTTATATTGTTTACTCTAATATCAACTAACACATCACTAAATTTTTTCTATACATTTGTGTTAAATCAAATATTGTAAAAATAGCTCTGAATCATATTTAGAGTGGCGTAGTGTGTTCTGGGTGTATTTGTTAGATTTTTTTGGCTTAGAATCTCTCAATGCAATCAAATTTCTGTAGTTGTGACTTGTCGGGAATTTATCGTTAACTATGTTACTGGGTTTCTTCAAATACTGTAAATTCCGAACACTTCCATTGGTACGAATTTAGCAAGGAAGTGATGCCAGATATTTTTCAAATAAATTATGTGTATTTAAGAAGAAAGTAGCTTATTTATTAGTGAATTTAAAAGTATTCAAGTAGATTTCAAGTATTTTTACGTTAAGAATACATATACACGTCATTTTCTTGGTAAAATATTTCCATATATCAATCATCAAAATAATTTAGTTATATTCAAGTAAAGTGTAGGCAACCGTGGCGAATAGTCAATGGCGGCGGTGCATATATGACAAATGACAATTTCGTGTGAAATAAACAAATTTTCTAGATGGATGATTCTTTTTTTGGTTTCGACACATCAGTACCGGTGAGTAAAATGTATAATTACATTACAATAAGAAAATATGATATATATAAAATTTCCCAAACTAGATTGTAAATGATAACTGTTGACTTAAAAATAGTCAAACCATGCCTTCACGTTAGGGTGACATTATTAATCAGTAGGTCGAGTTGTAGTATTTATATGTGGATTGTGTTTTTACTTTTTACATTTATATTATTTTTGTTTGATATTATTCTGTTTTTTTTAGTACGAAGATCATGGGGCTAGTGGTCAAATTGCTGAGCCTTCTGAAGAGGAGTATGATGCCCTTAACGATGAAACATTTGGATCCGCCACTAATGGGGATTGGGAAGAAGCCCATGAAACTATGGTGCGGCTTACAGACTGCTCCGTTTCTGCTAGATCCCACAAAGAATCTTTAGATGGTGTGCAACTAATTAGTGGAAAGATTGTAACATCCTCTCAAGCTTCATCGCCATCAAAGGCAAATATCTCGCGTGGCCGTTATGTAGAGAAGTTTGCAGATTCGGATTTGGAGTTAAATCTATCGGCAATGAAGTTGGACGATGTCGACTTGAGATTCGACGATAACGAAAGTTTATCTGGAACAACTGGAATAAATTTGGATCCTAGTGTTTGGGCTACAAATCCTTTTAAAAGTTCGCACATAGCATTAGATGGTAGTGAACATTTATCAATATTTCAATCTAGAGAAAGATGTTCATTAATTGGAATGAATGATGTAAATAACAGTGAAAAAATTTTTCAACAAACACAAAATGCAAATCTTTTTGCGCAACATATACAGTTGGAGAAAAATCAGTGCACAGATATAAAAATGATTCAAAGAGAATTGCCTCACCACCTTGGCGGGGCATTTGGCTTACCCTCAACTCCAAAATTTTGTACTCTGGAAGATATTGAGAGAAATATTATTATTGAACAAAGTATACGAAAAAATCGCGATAATTATTTACAACCCAAAGACCAACGAAATCAGCATCATCAAAATCAGAAACAGCAAATTCAACAGCATATTAATGACACTGTTAGACAGTCCTCAAACACAAACACACCTCCACCTCAATCACATCATATGCAGCAACATCAAATATTACATCAACAACTAAATCAGTCAAAACCTCAAGTTCCACAATTAAAAGGTATTACAGTTTTTTATACATAGTATAAATTAATGAAATATGTTTTACATAGGTCCGCCAGGTTTTCCTAATCAAGGTCACCCATTGAGACCAAACCCTAATTTTGCAAATAATCTGACACAAAACCCTTTGGGTAATTTAGTTCACCAACAGCAAACGGGTGGTGGTGGCAATCGTCTTCCACCAGGATTTTCTTTATACTCAGCTGGATTAAGCCCGCATATGCAGCAACAAAACAATCATCAGCTTCATCCACATCCTATACTTAACCAGCATGGATTACCCCCCAATTTTCCGAGACCACTGCCAAGCCCGCATCTGCCAATCGCTTTAAATAATTTTGCAATGCATCCCAATTTTAATGCAATGCGTGCTGCTGCAGCTGTTGCTGGTATCCATCCGGCTTCTTTGGTACAAACGCCACAAGCCGCTCGTATAACACCACATCCTCCTAACTCAGCTGTCTTACTAAATTCTCAGCAATCGAATTCTATGTATAATATGTTCAATATGCGTTTAGTTCAGGAAATTCAACAAAACCATCCTCTTTTGCAAAATATTGCACGTCAAACACAACAAGTACAACAAAATATTGGATTAAACTCTCCACAAAATCTTGTACAACAAAGGATCAATATTAGTGGAATTAATAAGCCAATCCATCAACGGCGTGATGGAGGATCTGCAAACGGAAACTTGCCACATGAAGAGTTTGATGAATATGCGAATTTAATGAGTACACGCGACAAACATTGGCTAATAGGTATACAGCTTTCGCAATTGAACACGGATACTCCCTACATTGATGATTTTTACTATACGGTATACCGTGAAAAAAAAGCTATCCTTAATGGCAACCTGCGCCATAGTCAAGCACATAAAGACAACCAGTTAAATCATCCACTAACGCAACCTAAAGGTCACGCTCAGCTCATTTTAGTTCAGCTCGGCAATAAAAATGGAACGCGGAATGGTCAACATCGCGAACGTCGTAATTCAGAGAGTACCGGGACAGTTGGAAATAATAGCGGAAATTTAGGAAACATTCAAGATCAAAAAACACCATATGTTTTTAGTCCACTAAAGTTTGAAAACTCGTTAGGTAAGTTACAGTATGGAAGTGTAACAGCACCGCGTAAAATAATTGACGCTGAAATTATGGGAAATGAAAATGCAGTCAGTGGGGCTGGTGATGGTATCCCAATTACTGGAAGTTGTAGTGGTACCAATTCATCCATCCTTAAGTCAAACATAACACCTGTAGCTCCTTTAACAAGTGCAATCGGCGATTTTACATCATCAGCTCATCGTAAATCGCGTCATATTTTGTTACACATCGAAACCCTCTACCGTATTGTTTTGAAATTGGAGGATTTAAATAATCCTACTGCAATCGCTACCATTATAATGAAAAAAAAGAAAGAAAGTGAGCGCATAGCTACTTTAGAGCAGATAGAAAATGCTAGCAAAAGTCAAGAAGAGCGAATAGCCGAAGCATCTAATCCATCAACGGTGAATTCTGCGTTGAAAAACAAATTCACATATGAGATTGAAAAGAAAGAAGCACTCGTGACAAAGCTAATAGCTGGACTTTCACAAGAAGAAGTTGCAGCAATTATGAATGTTCGCAAAGGAAAGGTAATATAATAAGTATTTAACGTCCGTGATCAATATTTTAAGTATAATTGTTTCAATGTTTATAATATTTATACAAAGTAACTCTATTAATTTTTTTTCTTTTTTCAAAACTCTATAAGACTAAGACATAGAAAAATCAATACACTGATTGGTATATTGCAATATATTTGAATATTGTATAGTATTCTAATATATATTATTATTGGTACTGGGTAATAGTTGATTAAAGATAATGGTAAACTATACGGAAAGTTTGGAAAAGAAATTCTTATTTTCTCAGTGCATCATTAACCTTCAGTTTCGGAAAGCTCTATTTTCTATTTAGCAAGTAATTATTATAAGTAGCAAAAAATAACAAAATTATTTACATTGCTACGTCATCAAAATCAGCTATCACTTTATTATCTCAATTTCTTCTCCATTCTCTAAAACTTGTAAATTTTAAGTTATTATTTGTGAATTTATTTGTTTTATCATTAAATGTTATTTTATAGACTCTGATTCGGCGTATAATGACATATGTGGAAGCTTATGACATTCGTTGGACAATTTGGATGGGAGTTTTTTCTTCTTTGCAGAATGTTATAAAAAAAGATAAGGATGATACTGATGGCGTTTTATATGCACTTTATCCTGAGTTTAGAAAGCAAGTGCAACAAGCAGACTTTGAAATGATTGTCAGAATTTCAGTCTCTATACCCCTAAGTGAAAAGAAATTTAATGGCATATTTTGTAGTAAGGTAAGTTATTTTCATAATTTTGTACATTTCATTGTAGGTTATTACAACATCTGTTTTACTGACTTCATGTCGACTTTCTTAATTTGCTAGTGTTTTTAAGTTAATTACGTAATTATTATTTTCACTTTGCACTTTCTGTTTGCAAATTTCTGTTGGCAGAAAATTTTCAGGCTTCTCATTAATATCAGCTATATATTTAATTTTTTTTAATTTTCCCTACATTGAGGGATATTTGTTTACGTGAATAGAATATATAAAATTAACAATTATATTAAATGGATTACCGCTAGAAGTAATGATTACACTTTAACTAATAATGAAATTTTATATATTCTAATGATTACGTTACCTTTCATATTACATAAATACGAATGATAACATGCTTAATGTGCCCTTACTACAGTTTCTAACTCAACTTCTTTTCAATATTATCGATAGCAACCCAATTCCTAAAAAAATGGAATTAAATTATTGTTGATCTTTAACTTTTTTGTGACATTGGTGTTTACAATACTGTCCGGAAGTCTATTGGATTCTTGCTGCCGGCATACTTTATATAATACCATAACATGATTTTGTTTTGCGGATGGCTACTGAAGCGAGCATACTTGAATACGTAGATGACAACCCTGAGTTTTAATTTTTGAAAAACACTCTTTAATGTGATATTCATTAGAATTAATTTGTTTGTGCTTGTGAAATTATTGAAATAGTTTATTTACCTGCTTTATATTTTTTGCATTAATATTTTTTTTTGCATTAATATTAGTTCAAAATTCAACTGCACGAATGTTCCAATGTTTTTGATAATGGTCGACTGTGCCACAGTGTTGTAAACGGTATTGCTACAAAAAAGTTGAAGTACAATAATACTTCAAAAGATATTTTTTTGACGGATTGAATTGAATAAATAAATTTCGTATTCTTTGTTTTGTGTACTAGTCCATTCACTGCCAAAGCGAAATGACTAGTAGTAAGGCATCAGTCCCCTATTAGATGATCCTCGGATGCCTTACAAATGGTGTTTCATTACCAAACACATTAAATTTGGACTTAACAAGTAATTTACAATAGTCTAAAGCTTTGATCATATATTTATGGCAAAGGAAGATTGCCCTTTATTTATTATTAATAGAAAATTTATGTAAAATGGTTTTAAACTATTTTTAATTAGCTATTTAGTAAAAATACATGAAAAAATCAAGGTTACAATAAATTGAAAAACTTGTTGCGCTCGTTCTGAAAAATCCCTAAAATGGACAACGCAAGTCACAATTTGGAAGCATTAAAATAGAATTTACGCACTATGGGAAATGCTGCGAAAATAGGAAGTCTATACAATCTACTATTCCTAGGAACACACTTTTTGAGTAAAATAAAAATCTTTGATTCTATAACACAACAGTAATTTTTATAATCCCGAAAAATTTAACTTCACCTAAATAAACGCTAGCTCGAAACCGGTTTTAGACCCATATTCTCTTAGGCAAAGTTGTTCAGAATGAACCATAGAATATTTCCTGCATACGTGATTTTTCCATTTTTTTGGCTTTGGCTCCCTAAATATAGTAAGTGGCAACACCTCAAGCTATAAAGCTGTAATTTTTTGTGTTTTTATTTTACGAAAATCTTCAATATTAATAATTTTTATAATCTCGCAACTTGGAGTATAATAGTTTTGTTCACCTAACGGTTGTTTGTATCACCTAAAACTAATCGAATTAGATATAGGGCTATATATATAATATATAAATGATCAGGATGAAGAGACGAGTTGAAATCCGAGTGACTGTCTGTCCGTCCGTCCGTCTGTGCAAGTTGTAACTTGAGTAAAAATTGAGATATATTTATGAAACTTGGTACACATGTTTCTTGGCCATTGCCATGCCATTAATCAAGAGCAAATAAATTGCCATAACTAAGCTCCACAACAAAATACAAAACTCTTATTTGGTATACAGAATCACATTAGGGAGGGGATCTGTAGTTTAAATTTTTTTTTAAGTGGGCCATTGTAACGTCTTTTCCGGTGACCCCTCGAATAAAAGGTGCGTCCACGTTGTCAGCAAACTCCTGACAGGATCATCAAAAATTAAAAAAAAAAAACACCTGTTTTAGTTAAGACCATAAACTCGTGCTTGGACGGAGGAAAAAAACAAAGTAAAATTGGAAATTTGGCAGACCTTTTTCCAACAAAATTAAAATTTCGGTAAAATTTGCTCGACATTTCTTTTTTGTTAATAGTTGTAGAGATATTATAGAATTAAATAAGACAATAAAAACGACGACGTAAAGCTTTTTAAATCATACACTTCAACTGATAAAAGATGTCTGTTGCAAACATACTTAAACAATTTTGTTGCTTGGTGTGATAGAATTGATTGGCCATTGAATCTCAATAAATGTATGATGATGTGTTTTTCCCGTAGATCTGTGCACCCCTCTTTTATGTAATAAACCACCATAGTCCAGAGGAAGTTTTGAACTATGTTGATTTGGGAGTTAATATGGACCTTAAGCTTAATTTTAGTCTTCACATTGATACCATGGTCTTGAAAGAAAAAGGTGTCCTCTGTTTTGTTAAACGTTGGTCTAAACAATTTAGAGATCCGTGTATTACTAAAACACTTTATACAACTTTGGTTAGACATATATTGGAATATGGAATCTGTTCAAAAACAATTTTTACTTTTCGCCTTAAGGCATTTCCGCTGGGATTCTAGGGAAGTCTACCTCCATACACTAGTTGTTTAAAACTTAATATTACCTACACTTTCTAGAATCAAAAAAAAATCAATCTGCTCTAATGTTGGTGTAATATTATTAACAATATATAAATAATAATTTTGTTTCAATCACGTCCTGGTTTTTTTTAGACAGCTACATGTTCTTTTTATATACGTTTTTTTCTAAATATGCATTCGACTAACCTACATCATTTACACGTTTGTTACATCGTAAACATGCCACGAAAGTGTTCTAACGCCCCGGCAGTTTTTTTATGTGTATGGAGAATTAACTTAACTATTCTCAGCGTCGTAATTTCTCATAATTGAACAGTGTTATTTAAACTATTTTGGATTTCCTATGAGAAATCGAGAAAAAACCTGGGTTTCACATAAATGTTGTGTAACGTGTGTGAGACTGCTATTAAGTTGAACAACAACCCGGACATATGCCCTTTGCTATACCAATGATTTAGAGCGAACCAAAGGATCATGTAATTTGTTTGACTCAAACGAAACGCATTACAACCATGTTCAAACACACTACTCAGTATCTAAACTTCTCTTCGGCTAACAGAGCTTTGAAGAAAAACTTAATGAAATCGCTTAGAAATGTTCGGAAAATTACAAAGGCTTAATAAATGAACTTATAAGGTCACATAAAGCTTTGAGGTTTAATATATACTTAAAAATTCATATCCTGGACTCTCATCTTTATTTCTTTCCGCTATCAAGGGAAATGGAGTGCAGGAATGCTAGCAGATTATTATTGGAGACTTAAAAATACTTTCCAGAAGCCAGATATTCACGAAAATAAGTATTTTTTCTATATTAAGCAATACTTTCTCTAAAGAAGAAAATATATGTTTTGATGTCACAAGAAAACCTGACGTGTAATTTTTTTTCATTCATATATTATTGTTAAGGGGCCCTAGTAAATTCAAAATTTGATACGAGCTTTCATGCGACAAAAAAAAATTTTTAATTTTGCTAACCAGTGTAAATGTTTATGCGTAATCGTAGACCCATCCGGTCAATGCGAAGAAAATAATCATACATCCCATTTCAATAGATATTATTTCCATAATTAATAATGGACTACATATTATCTTATTTATTTTTTGCAGTTTGGGATTTCATCACTGGTTTGCCTGGTGTTGCAAGCTGAGCATATTTATATGTCCGGCAATGATAGTACCCTTACTGATGGAAACAAGGGAAAATGGCGCTATTTCCTGGATCAAGTTGCAACGTCTTTAAATCGAACGATTCAAAACCACACAGTTTGTGCAGAAATCGAGTCAGATTCAATCCAACCGTTGATGAATCATTTTGCACGTTTTGAGGATCTAAAACTTGATTCCCTATTGGCACTTATTACTGAGGCCAGACAGCAGATTAACTAAAAAAGATATGGCGTGTATAAGAATTTAAAACATAAACTTATGAACGATCGGAAATGAGATTGCAAAACCTAAAGTTAAACTAAATAACTCACATTCATAAAAACTGTAACGGTAAACTGAAAAATTTGTTAGATATTTGCAAATTATTCAGAAGGGTTTTATGCAAAAGTATGCACATTACTAAAACTTCTTAGACTTTGACCTGTGGACATGGCAACACTTGAATGCATAATATTGTTAAAAATTAAATTCCCAGGTTAACAACAAATATGGTCTTATCAGATAAGGCTTTTTTGGGCTGATACAGCAGAAAAACTAACCGATTGTGTAGTTTTGGCTAAGTAACTTTATCTGGTAGAAGCCAATGTTTTATTTTTAATACTGAGGATCTGCTCTTCTGTTGGTCTTGAATCCATTTTTGAATTAAAATAGGTATTTTTATCTCTGTTTTTTCTTAATTAATAAAACCTTGCACTTTTAATCTTTAACAGATCTGTCACCAATATTGAAATCAGCGACTTTATCAAAACAACATTTTTGTAGATATATTGAAGAGTTTGTCAATCTTTAGCTGACGATTTAAAGTTTCAAAAAGAAATAATAAGAATTTTAAAATAATTGTCCTTTTTTATCATTGACTTTATGTATATTTATGTTTTTTTTTGGTGTTTTGTAAATATTAAAATATACATAAACTTAGTATTAGGATCAAATTTTATTTAACAAGAGATGAATATAAATATTGATATCTATTATAGAAACAATTTGTATGAACTAAAAAATAAGACGAAGGCATTCGGCGTATGCAATGAAACTGATTTCTAGTAGTCGTGACAATTTTTAATCTTCGTATCTTCCTTCATAATTCATATATACAAACAAGTACATTCATATACAAAAAATAAATAGATAAATGCTTCGTTTGGTGCTTCTCTTCTCAAATTGATTATAAATTGTATCAATAAAACCAATTATGTTACTACAGAATACTTACATCTTAAAATATATTTATTCACATATTGACGGACATTTAAATACGCGTAAAATTTATTTTTCATTCATCCATCAGTCCCTGATCCCGTTTTAACCGTGTTCGAATTTTTAAACAAATGTAAAAATAAATATTTTTCAATAACATTTAAGAATGGGAATATTTTAGCTTTTTAATAAAGGTATGGGCAAATAGTGTACCAGTTTATTTTGCTTAGTTATGTAACAATAATTTGAAAAATCGGGTTCAAGCAATGACATCAGTTCAGGTAACTACTTTCTGTGTTTTTCAAGGGTAATTATTAAATCAGTGTCGTCAAAGATATTGATGATCAACAGTTCAACAATCAAAATATAAAAAATACTTTTATAAGATATCCATATCCATACTCAAAGTTGGCTGCTGAAAAGAAAAGTCGTAATCTTGGAATCTCTTAATGCTGTAGAAGCCATTTTACTGTTACATTATCTGTTCTTATTTCAAATCACTGGTCATAAATTTTCCCCAACACGTGTTTCACTAGTTATCACGGCCGCAATCTACTAACACTTCTCCAATAGAGCTCTTTTGAAAAGTTGTTTGTCCCATTGTCTCTATCTATTCCGGCCCAAATCACTGATTCTAATTTTATTGAAATCTGCTGTGCATTTTTAGCGCATGTTTTCAAAACGGCCAATGCCCCGCTGTAGTAGCTGGAAGTCTGAAAATAATATTCCTAGACCTCTGTAATAAGGGGTTATATACAGTTAGAAGGCCGAAATAAAGTGAATTTTCCAGAAGTTTTTCTGAGAAAACTTAAGTTTATTCATCCAAAAATTGATACACATATTATGGTATCTTTTAACTACAAGTATATTTTAAGGCTTGGTACTAGTAAACTAGTCCGGGAGCTTCTCTCAAAAAAGACATTTTGCGGTGAACTCTATATCTCTGAACTGAATCATCTCAAATTAAAAAAACAAACAGATTTCGTTAAAGTAATGTTAAATCTAGTAATTAACCGAAGGAATTAGCAATATGTATTTTTTTGACAAAATGGCGGTTTCTAAAAAAAAAAACGATTTTTCACCGAAATTTCGGCCTTGAATTGTTTATAAAAACAAAAATATTTATCAGAAAAAAATCTTCGATGGATTACTAAAAAATAATTTAAGAAGTTCGTGTTAAAATTTGAGACTAATCGGTTTAGCCGTTTTCGAGTAATCTTGGTCACCGACTTTGAAAAACTATTTTTTTATCTTACATGGAGTCGTCTATTCGGCAGCTTCTAATAAAATCTGCGAGCCATTCTTCCATCTCGGGTGCTCTTACGCTTTGCGATCGGAAATGTTCACGCGCTGCTCATCTTCTTTTTCGGCATATGAATGCGCATTAGGCCCAAGTGTAATTCCTATTGCCTTCATATAATACAATAGTGATGCCATTCCTTGATATACAAGCTCGCATGTCCATTGATCCACAAAATTTTCCTGCACCTTCTAACCCTAATCCGAGGACTCTCATGACAAACAAAAATCGTCGATTTATTTCATAAGAGTGCGCGACAAAAGGACTAGAATTTATGTTACGATCTGCACACTTATCACACAGAAAACAATTTTAAAACCAAGTCCTCGTTCAGAATCAGTTTAAAACTTGACATTTCCGTCACAGATCTTACATTTCACATATTCATAAATTGCTGTTATAAAATTTAAAATGCGATACTCAACAGACGGATCACGTGTAACTGAGATTTCCTGTTCTTTAAATGTTTTTGCCCTTTTTTGTTCTCGACTTACGTATGTTAAGAGATTTTCTCATTTTTATAGAAAACTTCATTTTCACGAAAAATTACACAAAAAAACATAAACGAACTCACAAGTTTACTGCTTGGCTTCGTGGCGTATACTGGCTCCCACTCTTAAATATTTTCCAGTTTAGGGTTCGAAAAATAAAAATTTACATTTCAGGTACATTAGAAGGGAGCATTTACAATAGACAGGTGCATAAAAGGGACAGCGTTTAGGTAGTCGCTGCCGCTCCGGCCTTGTACTTCCAAGCCCTCTGAAACGCCTTTTCGAATTTGCGTGTAACTTCGAAAATATTCATCGATATGAAATTTTCTGTGTGTATTCTTAAATATATTCACTTTAAGAAAAAATCTTTTTTGAAAATTCTGAAATTGTTGTACAACCGAGTGAAGGAATATTAAATTGAGGTATTTTGGTATAATTCCTGAAACGCATCAGTTCCGTTTTACTAGTGTTAACATCTAGACCTTTGTTCACAACCCATATTTATTTTCATAATCTCACTGATTGTGGAAGGAAATATTCCCGATACCATCAATACCATCGTCGCCATATGCTATTGCTTTCACTCCTCATCCATTAAGTTGAAGTAGTTTTCCGTTCAGCGCCATAAAAGCGGGGAAAGGACACCTCCTTGAGGAGTGCCTCTGGTTACGTAGCTTGTTCGTGTCGCTGAACCATTTGGTGCTATAATCATTCTGTTCAACAGTTTCTGTTGATCGACCCTTTATGTATGCATGCTCATTCGATAAGGTATCCGCTGGGATGACCTTAGTCGATTAGCCTTTCTCGAATCTTCAGTATGAAGGGGGTGAGGCTTATAGGTCTAAAATCTTTGGCGTTGTCGTGTGTACTTCTGCCCAGTTTAGGGAGGAACACAGCCGGACCCGCCGCTTTAAATGGCAAGAAGCTGTTTATAGCGTATATAATTTTCTTCTTGCTTACTATGTGGTCGGATTGTTCTGCCATATTTGCACGTACAGGTTGCATCTCCACAGGGGTTTGCTGACTATCAGGAAAATGTGCTTCCAGTAGTTTCTCAAGAGATTCTTCAGCAGAGGAGGTCCAGGCTCCGCCCGTCGTCTTGAGGTAAGATATATTGATGTGTTCCTTAGACAGTATCTTACTCAGTCTAGCTGATTCCTTACAACTTTCTATCGATGTGTTCAAGAGTCTGCCTTTGTTTTCCTAACTGCTTTATTGTATTGTATTGCTTTAAGATATATTTATATGGTTGCCAGATTTTGGTCGTATAACTCTCATTGAAGGCTTTTCCAAAGTTCCATTTAGGTTTTTAGGTTTTTAAGATTATCGTTCCACCAAGGAGGCGACTTCCTCTTTTTGAGGACGTTTAACCGTGTAGATTGATTGAAGGAGGATTCCACCTCTAGTTCTTGAGAATTACTGATTTTTTTCAAACATACTTGCTTCTAAGCTTTTTCTTGCTATCTTAATAAATTTACTTCAAGCTATTTTCCTGGGGTTTCGAATGCTGGAGAGTATCCAGGAGCGATCCGACATAGATGGCTCCTCGGATACCCTCCAGTCATCGACAACCGATGACCGCGTTTCAGTTGGTGCTTCCTCATATCGTATGTCTCGCATTGGCGTCACATCCTATTAGGATATCCTCTCTTCTGTTTTTCTCTGTCAGTCTTACTAGGGTATAGGTGGCACGTCATTGTCATGGGCCATGCATAACGACACCAGAAAGAAATTACCTCCTTCCTGTTCCACCCTTACCACCGTGTTATCTGCTGTGCTATAGTTAGGACAAAGAAATGCGTTTATATATTTCTTAATAATACATGCCCTTTCTGAATAATAATACATGCCCTTGGTTTACCTTCATTTTGCTTGTAAGAGATGTTGTAGTCGCGTTTCCTTTCACCTAGGGCTCTTGGATTAGACTGATGCCGACGCCTCCTTACTTAAGAGGATTGTCAGATTTGCTGTAGTATTTTTGAGTGCAGCAGATAAATATCTGAACGCATCTAAGCCTCTTTGACGTTTTCTAGTATCCCCACCCCCCTTAGCAACTGGCTGGTGTCGTCTTCCTTGCCCATTTTGTCGAAGCTGATCTTATTATCAGCCTTTGATAGAGCCCCTATCGACTCCTCACAAATGGCTACTAGGATGAGTGTGCTTGCTTTGTTCGGCTTTTCCTTCTTGATCAGCTGCCAGTTATCTATACCTGGTATATACTTATTCTTTAGCTTGATGCATTTTAGACACGCTTCGCCTTTTTAATGCAGAGAGGTCAGCCAAATGCGAGCACTAGGCCTCCTTGGGATATCCTTGGCGGGTATGAGCTTCAATTTTAGGCCTTCAAAGGCTTCGCTAATTTTAGAGACTACCCGTCAAGAAATCCAAGAATGCCTTGTCCGCGTATTTGATGACTCTGTAGCCCCTAAGGGTTTCTGAAGAGTCAAACATAGCTTAAAACTAGACTAGACAATCTGACGTCGATCTCCACCCATCTCTCCTGTATGGTGCTCGGTGAGGTAAAGTTGGCGTCTATGACAGCCACCTTCGGGATGTCTCTGGTCATATCACAGAAGTGCCTTGCTGCTGCTGCACTGTGCTGCTTTCGCTTGGGCTTTTTAGGCATAGTTCCCATCGCTTCATTCTGCAAGCGATTTCTTTTTTGGAATACACCTTGCCTATTGGTTTCGATGAGAGTTTCTGATTGCTTCCTTTTCAGAAAGCTTTCATGCTCCACCACTATCTGTCTTTGGAGCTTTAATACCCCTTCGTCAATTGAGGTGCCGGCAGCCTGGTCTTTGGCAATCGTACCTAGTATGAGGACCGCCGTCTTCATTGGCTATTTCTCACCAGATTTAGGGATTTCTTCCCTTTCTTACGTAGACCCTCTCATTTAGCAGCCAGTGTACTTTGGTTGGTACTTACGGCTGCTTAAGAGGTAGAACATTAGAAATTCTTACCTAATTGTAAATATTTACACAACATTCCTTCTCACCCATCCTATACCTAATTAAACTGTAAAAAATAGTTTAATTTTATAAATTATATACTAGACTATATCCTTATTTAGCTATATTAAGTTAAATTGCACCATCACCACGGGCACCTCGACAACATTTAAAAAGTAATTGCACAAAAAATTACACCAGAACCAACTGTGCTAGCTAAAAAGTCATTGTAAGTTATTAATATTATATTTAATATAATTTTAATATTATTGTTTTATTATATATTTTTGAATTTCATAGGAATAGTAGAAAGATATTACGTCAGCTAAAGCTATCACTCTTATCATAATCCGTTTGACTTAAAGCTGTTCACAATTAATACATTTCTTTTTTTTTACACGATTCATTCTCTTTTAGTACTTTCTGGAAGATATCGATAATTTTTGCTGTATGCTCTATGTTTGAAAATGCAAATTTTCATTGCTCAGTATTTAACAATTTCAAGTAAGGGCATTAACCAGTATAAAATCAGCAATGCAAACTGCGCAGTGTTGCCAGTATTTACCCAAACAGCCCTTTAGTCATGTATATCTCCTAACTTCGTAAAAGGAATGTGGGTATCAATTTTGGTTGCAACCATTACTTTTACTTAAGCCCCCTCTCCGCGGCAAGGCGACTAACGCTGAATTAGCTAATTATAACTTCGTCGACTATAAAACTATGTAAACGGCTACCTTTCCAATTACGGTCTCACAGATTACCTCCCAGAGAACTTGAGTATCTTCTTCAACTGCCGTACCTAACTTTGCCTCTCTTAATGGTCTTACTTTTCCTTTGGCCCTTTTCGACTGGTTCGTTTTATTTACCGAACATTAAGTGATCGATTACTAAGCAGAAATGCAGTTTCGTGCGTTAAAGCATACGGCACGGTTTCCGTAAACATCATGCTAACGCAACATAGCGTGTAGTCTCATCTTGTATTCCAATAACGAAGTTCTGAATTTTTATGTGCTATATGTATTCCACGGATTTATGTGCATGAGCTAAGTAAACTAAGCTTTCAATCTTGCCTTACCAAATTGAAGCTTAAAATCTGGAACAGAATTGTGCGGTCAAAGAATGGAGTTTTTAACATGGTTGAGCCTGTTGACATAATAGATCAATTTGTAGCTTGCGGAGACGATTTTTCAACTCATCCACTTGACCCTTAATTTTATCGTGTTTTTCCCAAATCTGCTCTTTTAACGGTAAGGACATATGTGTGTCTTTGCGCGGCCACTTCTACTTGTAGCAACAATTGTAAAATTTATTTTCAGTTGATGACTGGGTTGTTAAATAAAAGTCACAATTTAATGGCTATATACTTGTCTTTATTTGTAATTTAAATAACTTAACACTTTATTCCACGATCTTGGTGTTTATAACTTCTTAATTATACAATAACTCATTTACACTTTATTAGGCAACACTGTAATTAGACTCTGACTCTGTAACTCTTTAATTAAAGGCAGGATACCCGAAATTAAAATATCGAAATATTCAGTTGCATGGAAGATATGTGATAAAGCTGTCCGATCTGGCCGATTCCGACAAATGATCAATATAATATCCAAATCTATCTATGTATTAAATTTCAGTCGGATGTTTCAAAAACTGACGGAGAAATTTTTAATATGAATAAAATATAAACTTTGACTTAAAAATCGATGGCTCGAAACCGGTTTTAGACCCATATTACCGTAGACAAAGTAGTTCAGAATGATTCGTAGAACATTTTATAGAAAAAATCGATCCGTTCGAATGTATTGTACATACTTTGACCACTAAATAATCGCACATTTGCGAATTATGCTAATATATATTATGTAAGTATGTATTTATTCTGGAAAGAGTTTTGGTGAAATTTCGATTATTTCTATTTGTCCGTTAACTGCTGGACAAATTATTTGGAAGACGAGGCTGCTATTACCGGCGAGCACAGCAATCCTTCAAGCTGTGTCGCCATCGGCCACACCAACGGGAGCAGGTTGCGGTGGTTGTAGTACTACTGCCAAGCCAGCACTACAGCACTCAGGACATGCCGTCGTTCGCTGGAACAGAACAACTTAGCGGAGTCAAAATCCTGAAGTGTAATACTGACCCGTGGCCAACATGAGCTAAGAAAGCTGTCAGAAGGCTTCCGAAACTATGGAAAGATGAAAAACTGGAGGTGATGGCCCGCAGCAATATGTCATCGGTGGTGAACCCAGAACATGCGATCCGGCTACTACAAGGACAGAATCCGGACGTCCCTACTAGCGACTGTAGGAAAGAATCTAGGCATAGAAGAACTCATAGCGACTTCATTTGTCCTACCGGATTCTAATGGTTTCAAACCGAGAGCTGAGGTTACTTAGGGGAACCTCCACAAAAGTAAGATCGCCTTTGCCGAGCTTCTTTTCAACTTAAAGAAGGGCGGCTACGACGTGGCTTTAGCTCAGAAACCATGGATTGCATCGAGTAACGTGGTCGCTGGGCTAAAAAAGGAGGCAAGTGGTATCTAATCGAAGTTAGAAACCTACCTATATAGGACCCACCTGCAGAAAATACCTAGACATAAGGCTATATATTATTAGAGATGCAATGGTAAAGAACTGGAGGGTGCCAAGTACACCATCATTCTCAGATTATAGGTACATCTAGTGCTCTATTATATCTGAAGCAAAGATCAGACACAAAGTTAGGACAAATCTCAGAAACACAAACTGGGATCTCTACAGGCAGATATTATAAGCAAATGACCTAGCGTCTATAACTCATAATGAAAAGCTTGAAAAAGGCGTGAATGTATTCACGAGTGCTTTTAATACAGATTACACTGTTACTCAAGCACAAAACTAAGTCCCCTTGGTATAACAAGGGGATCGGGTCTTGCAGACACAGAGTAAGGGAAATTTTCAGCTGTGCCAAGCTAGCAGAAAGCGAGGACTGTTTGAACGAGTATAAAGATCTTCTAAAATGTTAAGCAGAACAAAACGACAATCCTGGAAGAACTTTTGTAGCAGCTTTGAAAAGACCAACGGAGTGGCGAAGCTCAAGAAACTATTATCAAAAAGCTCCGCCTCGCCCGGTATTATTCGCAAGAATTGCGGAGAGTGGTAGAAACAGCCCAACTTACTCCAAGGAGCTTAGGCTGCTGAAAACTTTAGAGAAAATATTGGACGTGCACGTCAGGGTCTTAGCGCCTCCTAGAAGCTTGTCCAAAGTGCAACGCGCATACACAAAAGACAGATCAGTAAAGACTGCACTTAGACGGCAAAGCCTTTAAGATAGTGGCATATGCAGACGACATTGCCATCTTAATAACGAGAAGGTGTCTACACACCATTAGCAATATTACGACCATCCGGAGAAAACGGATCTCCTTGTGTTCACAAGAAAATACAAAATCCCTCCATGGAGACTTCCTTCGAGATATTTGACTCAAGGCACCTGCTCGGCACAACCTGGGTGACTTTCTCCTTCTCTCATGCACTGGTGCTGCATAGCTATTGTAAGGCCAATTCTGTTCTAAGGTGCATTTGTATGGGGGACAGGCAGAGTAATAATACAAATAAAAAGAAATCTTGCTCAAATTTCAGCTATAAGTGGTACAATTATTTCATTATCGAGTTTTTAAATCTTGTGCGTTGGGAACTATCCTACAAGACGGAGGTAACCAACTCACTACTCCACATGTAAAATTTCAAATCTTACACCACTACATATTCAAAACAAACTTTTTGATTTTAAATGGAAAATACTGTTGTAAGAGAAGCAACATTCATTATGCATAATTTTGGAATATGTAAAAAACAGACACACATATACATTGACATACCATTTTCCGTCAACAATGGCCAGTATTTCTTGGATAAATTTTTTTACGTAAGCAATTTTTTTGATATGCTTGTTAAATTTTATGTTATTTTATATAGATTCAAAAGACGTTTATAAAGAAGGTAAGTTCTTGAATTGTATGTTGTTTCTAAAGAATTGATTAAATATAATTGCATAGGACGGAGGAAAACTTACAATGCGCTGCCCGGACTGGAAATGTAGTGACATCAATTATTTACATTGTCTTGCCTCCTCTAGGTTGTTCGAAATATTTTCCACATCAATAAACGTATGTCCACAGTCGCGCAGAGTTTGGGTGAACGTGCTACACTGGTAAGCATGGCTAAATTAACTACTTATTAATTTACTTTGTGTTTTTTTTTAAGTGTTTTTAGATGACACTCAACCTTTCCATTTTGCTGGTGTGTCGTCAAATAACGTAACATTGGGTACGCGGCCTCTAAAGGAAATATCTCCAAGAAACCAAAAAGCCCTAACTTGCGGTGCAACGCGCGACGGAAAATAACCACCTTGCGGAAAATAACGGTCAATACTGCTATTTATGGTATACGCGAAGGACTATCAGCTCGAAAGATCAAGAATTCGTAAATGTCTACTATGATAGTTCTCTATTAAGCGGACATCCCAAATTTTCCTTACAGTTTTCATACAAATGACGCTCTAATAAAAGGACGCTTCTTTGTACGGAATTCAATTTCTGCTTACGGATTTCTAATATTCGTGTCAAAATAAGACGATTTAAAAAAGAAGTTTAATTTTTGAGGCCTCCTTAGTTGGGCGACCTAAACTATACATTTACCTCTCTAGTACTGTCCCAAAAGATCTTGGATTTTATAGGAGAAATTTGTATAAGTGGAAAGCTAGTCAAAGAACGTTTAAAATGTTTACCTTGTATAAGCATGGCTGGCGCAAAGCAGCAGATATCAGTCATTGGAAAAGCAGCTCACCTTCGTGCTTTTAAAAACATAAATGTAAAAGATTTACCAGCTCTTTGGAAGTCAAATCGAAAGCCCTGGCAAAATGACAAGAGAAAGAAAAAAAGTTTTGCTATTTTTAGCCAACGCCGCTTCACATACCAGGGACATGACACTCAAAAATATAAAGTTAATATTTTTACTCGCCAACACAACCTATGTTTGCCAACCACTTGATCAAGGAATAAAACAAAACTTCAAATTGTTATCGCAACTCTATATTATAAAAATTATTATCTCAAATTAAGGGTGCCACAGAACCTGTAAAATCAATAAACAAGTTGAAGGCTTTATATTTTATTAAAAACGCTTGGAAACAAGTTAATGCTGTAACAATACAAAACTGTTTTCGCAAAGCGGGAATCGTAAAAATTGAGTGGTTGAGTAGTGACGATGATTTGCCGTTGTTGTAAATTATTTCCCCTCCTGAAGAGATCTAAAAGTGAATGAAGCAGAATTGTTTACAGTACTTATTGATGACAGTAGCAACTCAGAAGAGGAATGAGAATCAGAAAATGATTCCGAAGCCAAACAAACGTACTGTGAAGCTATAGGAGTCAGTTTTCCAATCTAAACTTCTAAAGTAGGAAGAAGTGAAAAAGCAGCAAACAAAAATTACGAAATTCTTTTTAAATAATTATATAGGTGTATATATGTATATACTTGCATACATTGAACATTACTAAATAAACAAAATTATTTATTGTTAGTTATGCATGTGTATATTTTTTAATGCTTATACAGAAAGGATGGTCCCATCAGTGTCCGCTTCTGGGAAATTCCACTGTATGAGATGCCCGATTTCAATCTAACACGCATTTCGCCATGGTTGCTGTGTATCGAATTGAAATATTACAACAGTTTTATTCTTAATGTTGAAAATGTATATATACTTTATTTATTGGAATTTTTATTTAAAAAATTTTTGACGTTTCATAACATGAAAACCAAGGTAGCCACCGTTAGAGTATATACTATTATATCTATGTTAAGTAGCATGTTATATATTGTAGCCCTTAACTAGAAATAGCTTCCTTTTAGGGGACGGAGCCATGGCAACTTTTTAAACTACAGATACTCCTTTCTAACGCGATAATAGTTTTGTATGTTAATTTGAAGTTTTATAAGTTTTTGATAACCAGCTTTTTGTAGGCGTGGTAATAGTCGTTAGTTGAAGATAACTGTTATACTCCATAGCAACATGTTGCCAGAGTAAAACTATTCAATTTCCACTAGAAAAGCTATGATAATAAATTTTTACTCCTCATTATCTTCTTGCTCTTGATTTGCGTTTTTTGTCATCTCTTCTTATATAGAATCATGCACCAAACTATCATGATTTTATGCTTATTTTAAATATATAAATTAGTTCTGATATAAGAATTTTTTCATACTTTATGGGACCCTTAAGACCCATTCGTCTACTGTTGCTTGGCAAAGCGTTAAAAGATGAGAGCTGCCCAACATTTTGCTTGGCTTCGCGTCGAAAACTTTTTATGTGAACGTACTCATACAAAAGCGTACATCGGGCATTTCTGACAAAACAAATGTCTGACGCAAAGCGAAGTTAAAGTTATACATATGTGAATTGGCCATTAGCATACACATAAGTATGAATGTACATTCATACATGGACATCATCCATCGGAGTTCGATAGTTGTACATTATTTTTAAATCTCGATCGATCATATATAGTCGACTTTGTTCAAATCTATAATAGAAAGGAAGTATAATATGTTACTATATTTACATACATACATTCGAATAAATACCAAAAACTGATGCCAATTAGTTGACTGTCGATGGCGATGGAGCTTTAAAGAGGCCGCCACTTCAGCCAAGGAATTGGTGATGGTTATACACACATACATTTATATCTGGATAGTAAGTTAGAGAAACAAATCGAGTGCGCCGTTGTCGACCCGCGGAGCCAGCTGTCGCCATTTAGTTTGTTATGATGTTTCTGATGTCGAACCGATGCTTCAGCACAAAAATAGTTAAGCACAGACAGTTGGGCAGCGAGCCTTTGCAATGGATTCTGCGCAGATAGATATTAGCTTCGACATCATGGTGCCTAGACTACAAATGTCGCCAGTTTATTTTTTTAGTGGTATGGCGGTGATGGTGGCGGCGACAATGGTGCACTAGCATTATAGTTGTCTTAATTATTTCGACTGCCACCGTTAGTGTTATTGCCATTACTAATAATATTATTAGTAATTAAACGAGTATATGTGAAGTATTTCTTACATACTACGGTCCATTTCAAAGTATTTAGGCACCTGACTTTAATTAAAAAATCCCAGAAAATTAGCTTACTACCGTTTCTTATTATTAAAACTAACTAATGCATTTACTCAAATTATTAAAAAAATTTAATTCATGTTCAGTACATTTATTGCTCTGAAATAACATAAACTACCCGAAGGCAAGATATGGTGTGGGGTTGGGGTGGCTGTTTGAAATGAAAATTGTAAGCCATATTTAAGGAACTTCTAAAAGTCAATGACATATCAATAAAGACTTTGCAGCTAAGCATATAATTTATTAACATGTACTATACTCGTACATATGTAAATAGGAGTTTATATAATATTTGCAGACATACAATAAATGGAATAATTACATTCTAATGATCTCGAACTGAACCTACAGGTAGGAATTTGCTGTGGTGCTGGATTCATATTGAGGAATATGCAATTATCATTTAGAATTTACCATTTTTAATTTATTATTTCTATATATTTTATTTTGCATTTTCATTAATTATAATTATAGCTATTTTTATAATTTATTATTTTAAAATAATATGTTATCCTTAACTGATAAGATTGTTTTGGCAGCGCACTAGCTGTGTAGTTAAAGTTTATTACCTATAATTTATTCGAAAACGATCACCATATACATATGTATGTATGTAGGCGAGATACGTTGTTCTTGAAGATAGTATTGAGGTTTTACATGCAAATCAATAGTTCGTCCAGAGCGGCATCAGTCGGCATTTACCCATTAAATATGTATACATATGTATCCTATAAACATACGCGTATACATAGTTGATGACAAACTGTCTAACAGTCAAAGCAAAAGAAATTCATAACTATTAGGCGTCCACTGGCTACCATGTATTCCAAAAAAAAAAAAAGAATTGTATTCGAATTAGTACTCTTTAATTAACCAAATATATACATATGTATGTATGGCTGTGTAAAGCAATAACACAACCAATGCAATTTTTTCGGGTTACGCCTGCCTCATTATAAAATAAGTTACTGGAATATTATAAATATGAAAACTGCTACGATGGGAATTTCAAATAATTACAGTCTCTCAAAAAAATAAATAATATGGCGAATATGTATGTTACTTAAAATTTGAGAATTTTTTAATAACTTCAGGTATATACTTACCATACATAGAAGGTATATCGCAATTGCCACTCGCTTACAAAAAGTTGGCTATTATCAATAGTTTTAATTAAATTATAATAACATTTTTGTTGATGTTGATGGAAATGTTTAAGAAAATAAGGAGTTTTTCAAGGATGTTACAAATTGAAACAAATTAAATAATTTCATTTCTACATACATAAGTATGTATATGTATTTAACTATTTAAGAACATTATTGGTACCATGAAACTCTAACAAAATAAACCAAATTTTTGTTTATGTATTAAATTCACTCTAACGCCACTAACAGCGCGACAAAGTGGCAGCCTGGCGTCGTATAAAAAAAATCATGGCTGCCAGGCTATGGAGCCGAACTTGCCATAGAAACTCAGGAGTCAGGATGAATGGCGACCGGCAAACTGATGATGACTAGAAAGGAATTGAATTGCGCAAATTACAAAAGCATCATTTGAAAATACATACATATGTATGTAGGTAGTATGTATACTTTGTACAGCAATTTTCCCGCGCTCATCATTAACAGAACGACTGTTTATATGTACTTATGTACATAGCAAGTATGAATGAGCTTTTGTGCTGTGCTCCTTCTCTTTACATTCACAACAGTCCGAAGCGCCACGTAAGTTGTATATAAATGGACAAGTGTAATGTTCTCGCTTTTAGTCTGCTTCCAAGCATCACTAACAGTACTACGTGCCTCCTTAAAAGCACTTACGAGAACAAGTAAACAAACGTAATTTTCGAAGATGTACTCTTCGTGGGGCGTAGTAAATTTTAAAAACTCTAACAAATTTAATGTGAGAGTAATTAAAAATGTGAACATTTGAACGAAATAAAAGAGAAATATGGACTTCGCAAATGCTTAAGCAGGTGTTTTTGATAAGGACTATGTTATGAATGTTTAAGAATTTCCCTAAAAGTCAAAACTATCAATGCCATAAGATAATGCTTTTAAGAAACCTGGTTGAGTGAATTGCAGTGAATTTAGTAGTATTGTATGGATAGTAAATCTCAATTCAAAATAATAAGTTGGCAGGTTAATGATACACAAACGAGGGAAGGTAGGTGAAAAACATTTGTAACATTATTTTTGTGTTTTTGTAAATCAAAGACGACTTGGGAATAACCCGTTACGAAAGAGCATTAGTAATTGAGTTCGCGATTTCCCTTCCTTATTCCATCCATATTTGCATCAGGAAACTAATAATTATAGTGTAGTTACAACCATCTAGTGATCTAATCCTCTAAGTAGTGGAGTATATTTTCTTTGGGTGTTACAAACCAATCTAATTTGACATCAGTAATACCATGAGCCTATACGATGTCGCGAAATTTTTTTTGATTGTTATTCAGTGATTCAATTTATTGTCTTATCGGAACTATATTAAAATTTATGAATAAATAAATACCATTCAAAACCTTTAAAACTATTTGTAAAAGAGGTTTTGGCTCTGTTACGAAAAACTTAATCAGGGGTGTTGTGGAATTCAAGACAGATTTGCGTAGTTGTCAGAATTGTAAACCAATTCTGATTTTGAATGGTGTCACAGAATCTGATTGGATTTGCGTCTTTTTGAACATATGTAAAACCAATATTCGAATCAGCTGTCTACTAATGTGACAACAATTTCTCTTGCATTTACTTGTATGTTTGTATACATGCTGACTTTACAGATTCATATCACTTTATCGACTAAATAAAGACGCATTTGGGTGTTAAATTACGTTTGTTACGTTTTGTACATTCTCTTAAAATATCTTGATTTTTCCATAAACTCTATAATTATGACATTTTTTGTTTTATACTTATGTTTTCCCTATAGAAATAACGATAAATTAAATCGTAACAATAATATAAATTATTTTCTTCACTTACATTTCAAATCTGTCAGCAAAAATCCTATTGCTTTGTTTCTGATAACAAAACCGATAAAATTGGTTTCCGTGACACCCAAACCGATACCATTTCTGTTTCGAACGTCAATAATATCTGAATTCATGACACCTATTACATTTTTTTATCGGTTTCAATTCTGATTCCGACAACTATCAGATTCTACAACACCCCTGAATATATTATACTTAATTAAGTCGTGAGAAGGGAAATAATTAAAATTATCAATTTAACTGGTATTTTAGGTATGATCTAAATATATACCACTGTAAAGAGAAAATGTGACGCTTCAAGGAAAGTTGTTTTGGTTCGTAACCATTAAATATGTCTTGCACTGTGTAATTATTTAAGATATTATGTTACTGAAATTCTCTGTTTCAGAGAACAATAGCTTTGTCCTAACGTTTAGATGTCACGTAATTCGTCCCTACTCCTGGCTTGTCATCAACCTCTTCACAAATGTACAATTCGTATTTAAATACTTTACAGTTTTTTTAATAGTCCAATTGGGACTTTTAGGATGCCTCGTTAGAAAGGCTGCTTCAAAACTTTTCTTATACTAAGCTCTCATTTTTCTTATTTCACGGGACGACGTGACACATTATGAAGATCGAAAAAAGCAACCGAAAGTTGTCGTGCACTAGATCTATGGAGGCTAGGATAGTAATTTAACTTTAGTGTTTTGTGAGATATACGCTTTAAACTTATTAGGGGCGAGGCCACAGATTCTCCATGCTTCGGTTCCCTTCTCTTCATTTGTGGTTTATACCAATTAGTAGGTTTCGACTAACGGCGCTTCGTGAGCGTGGCCAAGGATGACATAATACGAAACTATTTGCTTCGAGAGAGAGAGCTGTCAAAACCCACATATTTTATAATATTTGTCAATCATGCCGCTGTTCAAAGTTCCCCAATCTTTATAATCAGGGAAAGAGAATGACAGAAAAATTAGGGAAAATGAGAGAGTCTCGTATCATGTCATCCTTGCCTTATCTGCAATACCAATATTCTCAGAGCGCCAAGGAACATGTATATATACCTAGTTTCATAAAGTTTTCACGACTTTAACCGAAGTTATCGCTTGCACAGACAAACGGAGCGACACGATTACATATCTATTTTGACTATTAGATGAACAAAACTATTATATCCTCCTGTGTAACATGTTGCGATAGCACACTAATCTTGCAGATCGACTGTTGTGGGAAAGCTTTGGTAAACTTTTACCGAGCAACAACCAATCAGTAGTCTATCTATTGAATTTAGGAGTATATCCATGTTTTATTATTGCCAGAATTTGGAGTACAAAACGTGGCGTCCGTCCCGCGCAACCTTTTTCACTTGGAAAAATAAATCAAATCACGAATTATCCCAATGTTTTTAGACGTACTGCCTTTTGTGGCCTTCCTCAAAAAGATGCAGCATTTGTACTTGTACGGTTACGACATAAATTTGCAAACCATTACTTACCGTTAAATGTGCTGTGGTAAATTTGAAGTATCGATATCTTTATCGATCATTGCTTTGCATCAATGGTGCCTTTGTCATCAGGAAACATTGTTTTATAAAAACACTAAGGGCTGATTCACATAGAACTTATGCTTCGTTGTGCTTCAGACATTTGCTTTGACAAAAAAGTTCCATGTATGCTTTTGAATGAATCCGTTCACATCGAAGCGAAGGGCTACAAAGCGAGGGAAAATGTTGCGCAGCTTTGCCAAGCAACAGTGGCAATTTTTACTAACAAGTATCATGGCAAATAAAGCGTTCATTTTGACATACGCTTTGATTTCTTCGCGTTTATGTTATAGTATGCATTCTCAAACAAAGCGAGGAAAGTTGTATGTGAATCGGCCATAAATTTACTAATTGTAATACTTTGAAATTATTCTAGTTTAGATGAATACTCTTAAACAAGGATATATATTTTTTGTTGGGGCTACGATTTCAATTTAATAATCAATAATAACACAAATAAAGCAAACTTAGACTGTTTCGGATAAATATTTCTTTATTGCGGCAACACTGGTCACAAAATCAAATTGGGAATGTTACCAATACATTACAATGCATAGCCATACACATGTCTATGCATACATTTGCGCGTATGAGTATAGGTTTAAGAGAATTTTCCAAAGAACTAAACTTTTAGTTGCTGCTATCTGTTGGTTGACATAAGCCGTTGTTAAGTCAATTGGAACTAGTAAGCTTTTTGTTTCTTCGGGTATACGACATTTTATTTAGTGAAAATGTGATGTGCGAAAATTAAGAATTTTAAAATTAGTATGTATGTACACATATGATGATCCATATATGAAATTTGAAAAAATAATGGTGTCGTGTGTGAATTATGTGTGTCTCGAGTATTCAACTTATGTGAAGTCTGTATAAACATATATTAATAATTGAATACAAGTAAATTAAGTCAAATCAATAAAACGAAAAATTACAAAAAAATAAAAAATAGAAAAATATACAATCAGTGGAATATATGTACATGCATACATATCTATATTTATTAATAGAGCTAAAGAAATATGCTTATGTGTGCATCTTTAAACATACATACATAAGTATGTACGTACATGTCTGTTATTTGCGGCTGCTCTCATCAGCTTATCCAAATAACACAAGCTTGTAGCCCAAACAGTCACCGACATTTCTCCCTTCCGTACGTCAACTGATACGATTTGTCTTATGCGAGTGCAATATAAATGAACACTCACCACCGCTTCTACCGTCCGCTTCAACAGACCGTACGGTAGGATTTCCGCGAAAATTGGATTTTTGCCGTAGGAATGAGTGAGCTGAGAGTGAGAGAGCAATCTCTTGCAACGTAGGGTTGTCAATCTCGATATTTTGTAGTATTTAAAAAATTAACTTTAATTTATATATGAAATATTTTTAAAATAACTATACATAAAATAAAATACATATTTATAAATAAGTAAACTATTTTATACAAATAGAACAATTGCAACATTTGTGAAATGAAACCAAGAACAACTGATTTCTGTGTTGCAACTACGGGTATAACTTTTGACAAATTTGGCTTGACACGGGCGGTAAGTACGGAAGAGAGGAATGTCGGCGACTATTTGGGCTATTACTGCTCATTTATGTACTCTCTTTTTTCTAAATAATTGGTATGCGTATTTTGACGAGAATGTACAGACGAATGTATACAGATATATAGTTAAGAGAGAAATTTATATTGCACCTCACATGGTTTGAGACAGAATAATTCGAAAAAAATTTGTTAAAATATGTGATTTGTTTTTGGTTGTGGCGCTAACAGAGCTTGTTTTGGGGGCCAAATTCAGATCTATCACACGAGCTACTGATATATGTATGTATATATAGGTATATACATATATATATATATACGTTTGAGTGTGTATACTTAGTACGAAGTTGTGTACCCTACAAGAAACTGCTTATGGGTTCACCAATCCACTCACATTTGTTTTGTCTGTACTGACATTGTTAAAAAGAGACCCTTACGATTTATATTGCTTACTATAGCTTTTCATATGTAAGAATGAAATAGCTGCATTCTTTAGTACTGTCACCACTGACAGTCAAATTATAAGTAAAATGACTGTCAATGTTTACGATTTTCCCAAAAGCAAATTTTGTATACGTCGAACAGAGATAGCATACATTTTCATATAAGTTTCGTGAAGTTGGGAAATACCTACATATGTAGCTGTTATTCCGTTCGATAAACCAAAAGTGTTCCGTGCTCCTGTTCAATAACTATTTTTGTGTTCGGAAAATAAATAAATAACGAAGGAGTTTTCAAATATAATATACGTAAGTTATTATTAACTTTCAAATAAATTTTATCAATATGTTTAGTTAATTTTAATTATTATTTAGGCATTTGTAAATTCGAAATATCCGTGAACTGGAGAAACACGTACAGCAGAGCTTTGGAAAGGAGCAAACATGGATTCAAGTGAAAATGTCTTTTCATAAATTATTATTTGATTATATTTTTGTTGAACTCCTTTTTTATATTTATGTACTCGTATATTATTGTAACTAATTTTAATTAAAAGGTTTGATTTTATCAAAGAAATAAAAATTGTATTATATACTGCGCAAAAGAAATTTTTAATTGTGATCGATTTACAGTCCTAACTGACAAATTGCAGCTATGATAGCTTTTCAGTAATAACTGACAATTTTCAGCTTTGAAGGATTTATGATCAGAAATGACTCAGAAAAAGGCATGGGAGTGAGCAGTATTAATATATAGTGAATCAATTCTGAATATCCTTGTGTCGAAGGGAGATGCAAAATCACACATGTGATTTTTGCACAAAGCTCTTAAGAAAATTTTAGAAACTTTGTTCTGCACGCTTACAAAAATTTTTCAGCTGTGAATGTCATATTGCCGGTCAAATGACTGACACTATTATTGCAGGGTATAAAGTGTGCTCATAATATATTTACATCTATATACACAATGTACATGTGTGCGTATGAATGTATGTTTGAAGTTTGAAGATTAACTCGCAAGAATGCCAGAAAATAAAATTACAACAAATGTTTTAAGTTTCAAACTACGAAATGAAGTCAATCAATATTTTTTCGAAATTATGAAAAAACGACACGTGTGTAGATTTTTTATTTTTCTTTTCGGGTAAATTTTAGAATAGCATCCCCCGAATTTAGGGTTAAAATTAGTATGTACGGGTAGAAGAGGTTCTTCCAATTAAGAAAATGGGTGCGTTCGAGCTACGTAATAATTGCAGCAGTACATCTACTATGTTGCATATTTGCAGATACTCTGCTGATGTGCAGACAAAAATTTAGTGTTGCCGATTATTTGCATAAATTGCGTGCAAAAAGTGACAGTAGAACGTGATGCTGTTGCAAGTATTGCCAAAAATTCACGCAGGACGTGATACTTTGACAAATTTGCAGCACTGCTGTCGTGATTGCCATCTCGAACGCACCCAATATACACATTTGCCGCTGACTTATGGGTTTTGAGATATTTGCATTTAAAGTTCAAAAATTCAATTATTTAAAGTGCGTGTTCCTTTGATATATGATGAATTTTCTCCCATATCTTTAACTTTTATATCCCTTGGAGTCCATTAGTTTAAACTGGTCTGAGCACCTGCTTGTAAATAACAGTTGGCTGGGATTTAGAATAGCAATTCTGGGTTAAAATGGGTATAGAGGAGGTTCTCCACTAACACTTCACTAATTCGTTTCTACACATTGGTTTTGTATTAATAGTGCAAAACTAACTTTAATTCAATATTTTACTTTGGTTCAAATCCATTTACTCATATAATAAAAAAATGATTGCATGCAAACAAAAAATAAGTGTAGCCATATTTTGCAAACGAATACAAATAAATAAAAAAGAAGGATTATACCGGCAATACAAAATTCATAACCATGTAATGAGTAACGTAAACTCTTTCAGGTTTTCCTTTCTCTTCGTAAATCCCGGTTTTGGATCAACCAGGGTTATTTTTTTTTAAGTGCGCCCTAAGACCGCCAATGAAAAAAACAGTTTTACCCGAAAGACCTGAGGACACAGCGGTATTGGACAGACTAGGGTTATGTTTTTGATGCGCAGCCAAAGGCCGTCAACGCAAAAAGGAGTTCTAAGCGAATAAACTGAAGACACCCCGTTGTTGGAGCGACCACGGTTTTTTTTGAAGCACGTCCGAGGGCCGCCAACGCAAAAAGGAGTTCTACGCCAAAAACTGATAACGTGTTATTTATTTCCTGCCATTGGGGTATTATCTGTTTTTTTAATTCTTTTGGTTCCTTTGTAAAATATTTAGGTAAGGTAACACTGATTATTTGTTAGAATGCAACAATTTTGTTATTGGGTGAATAAAATGAATTAAGCAAAAGTTAAATATTGATTTAAAGGTATTTTTGGAGTATTTAATATTAAATAAATGTGTGGAAAGGAATTAGTGAAGTGTTAGTGGATATAAAAGTTAAAAATAAAATGTAAAATTAAATCCAAGAATCTTGTTAGATGTGGATAGGGCAGAGTTTCTGCCCAAAAGCCAATACATACATATATATGAATTTTGTTTCTAATTATACTTTATTCTTTTTGATATGTGGTCTCCATCTAAGTTTTATATCCAGAGTCATGCCTAGGTATTTCGTAGTATGGTGATATGGTTTTTGCACACCGTTAATGTACAGTGGCATAGATCTAACATTGTTGTAAGTGAAATCAATATGTGCTAATTTAGTTTCGTTTAATTTTATTCGCCATTTAGCTGTCTATTTAAATATTTTGTTTAAATGTTGCAATTTTGTAATTGATGCAGTTTGTAAAGAGTAGATAAAGAATGAGTCCTAACACACTACCCTGAGGAACACTAGTTTTTAGTTCCTTTAAATCAGAGTACATAAAATAGTTAAAATATTGTAATAATAGTTAAAATATTGTAATATGCTTTTGGTAAAAGCATCAAGTACGCCATGGCAAACTTTATCAAAAGCTTTGGCAATGTCGTGAAAGACGCCCGAGCAAAGTTTTTTTTTCAAAAGCATTTTCAATAATTCGAGTTATTCTATGCACTTGGTCAATAGTGGAGTGATTTTTTCGGAAGTCAAACTGATGTACGGTATCAGCTTCCTCTCTTTAATTATGTTGTTAAGACGCGTAGCAAGCAATTTTTCCATAAGCCTTGAAAGTATTGGCAGGAGAGATATGTACCGATACGTAGTTATGTTATGTGCTGGATTTCCAAGTTTGTTGATCATAATCACCTCTGCAGTTTTCCAATTAATAGATACGTATTGTAGATTAAGAATATCGTTCATTATAGCAGTCATTTTACTTATAACACTTTGAGGAAGCTGTTGTAGTATTTCGCTGGTAATAAGGTCAAACCCATGTGATTTTTTTTACTTAAATTTTTAATTTCTGCATATACCTCGTTAGTTACTAGAGGGATTTAGGTGTAATTGTAATTATGAGGTGCTAACTTTTAATTAAAACAGATGTGTCATATGGTTTAAAGACCCCTTCAAGGTATTCCAAAAAAACATTTGAGAAACACGATATAGAGAAATATCGCTTTTGGCCCATGTCTGATCTGTCTTTCTGATTGGATGATGCTGAATTACAGGTCGAGACAAGTTTTTTGTACACTTCCCAAGTGAATAATTATTCCTATAGTCGTTAGATTAACTTTTCAGATAATAGCTAAGAGTTATATTTTTAAATGCCTTTATCTTACCGGCAAGTTTTTTTACATATTTTGCTAAGACAACTTTAGTCAGATGGAGATCTTGTTTATTGCCGCTTTTGGCATAGTCGGCGTTTTTCTGTTACCAATTCTTTAATTTCCGTTATCGCCTGTTTATGTGGTATGATGAG